CCAGGGATACAGCAGAACCAGGCTCTGGGGTGTCTTCAGCAGACACCCTGAACTGAGCTGAAGTCTCTACTTTTGAAGCCTACTGTGTTTTTTTCCCGTTTGGGGCTTTTTAAGACAAGGTTTTCCAGCCGGGCGTTGGTGGCACACGCCTTTAATCCCAGCACTCGGGAGGCAGAGGCAGGCGGATCTCTGTGAGTTCGAGGCTGGGCTGGACCGATAGCCTCCAAAACAATACAGAGAAACACTGTCTCGTAAAAACCAAAAAAAAAAAAAAAAAAAAAGACAAGGTTTTCCTCAGTGTAGACTAGGCTGACTAGGATTACAGGTATGGTCCACCATGCCCAACCCTCATGGTATTTTTGATGTTCAGAACTGTAAATTACAGGACTTTTGCACCTAGAACAAGGTCTATGCGATAATGTATGACTGGAGTTTATAATAAGCACTTCATTTCCAAACTTCAGATTCAGCTTAACTCCTGAGTCAACTATTCTTTCCCTGTCTCGTTTATAGGGTGCCCTGTGCTGTCTCCACCTAGAAAGCTAGGTGTTACTCTAGATCCCTTTCCTGTGTTAACCACACCTGATCATTTTGTTCTTCACATCTGTGTGTCCCACTTCTAGAAAACTCTCTTTTCTCAAGTCTTCATCTAATATTTACAATCTCTTATCTAGATTTGTAGATTAGACACCTGACCTCCCCCTGCTTTTGTTTTTGTTGCCCAAATCCATTTGAGGGATCTGTATAGAACTGTTTAACTACTGCCACTGAATTCAGAACTCAGTATTTTGCCTACAAAGGTTGATGCTTTCTTAACCTCCTCTACCCTTCAGTCATTGTCCTGTAAACAAACCTTTAGAACTGTATTTATCAATATAAAGCATCCCCAACTTACAAATGGCTTGTCATTTTTAAGAGAGCCAATACAAATACATGAAACTTTAGCTAATATATTTACTCCCTTTTTAGGCCCATAACATTTTGGGTGTGTCTAGCTTTGTTGTAATACTTAGGGAGAATCAATTGCTTGTATTAGTATTACGTGCACCATTTGGGTTTGGAGCACTCCAAATGAAAGGCCCACTCCTTTCTTCAAACATTTAATTGAGGGTGCTTTTCAGGGTCTTTAATATAAAGGGCCAGAGAGGAAGGAGTTTCCTGAGAAATTATGCATTTGATTCCTAGTACTGGTGCTCCCCACATGAGAAAAGACCTTTCAGATTGTTATGTTAGGAAAATATACTTGCTTTTCCAGTTAGTTTACAAAAACTAGTTTACTTAAATTCTATTGTGGAGTCACTGAGCCTGGGGTGCCTCTATATTACTAATACAGCAGCACAGGACATTGCCTTCTGACAAGACCACATGCACACAGGCAGCCTACACTGTATCATGTAACTTAAGCATGTAGTGGGTTCCACCCTCCTAGGTCTGCTTCTCAGATCATATCCCCACCACCTACTGGCATGACTGCGCACAGAGTGGTATCTGGAGCATTTCTCTGGAGACTGAGGTGGGGTTATTTTTGTAGTGGAGATTAAATCTAGGGCCTCAGACAAGCTGTGTAATCTACTGCTGAGCTACAGCTACATCTCCAGAACTTCGGTAAAATTTTATTTGAGACACTCACCAAATTGGCCAGGCTTGGCCTTGAACTTTGTGATCCTCCTGCCTCAATGTTTAAGAAGTTAGGATCATAGCTATGAGTGTCCATGCCAAGCTTCAGATATATTACTTTGGCCTAAGAAATACAGGAATTAAAAGTTAAATAATTAAAAGTGAGTCTTGTGGGGTCAGTATGGGAACGTTTGATTACCAGTATTGCCACTCTGAATTCTTTTTGAAAATAAAGGCCAGGTTTTGTTTTTAATCTTGCATTTGATTACATCATGATGTTCACAGATGACCTAAGCATAAAGGAGGAATAACTAAGCATACTAGATTCTGTTTTAGAAACCCAGTGCAGACACTATTGGAGATGAAGGGTTCTTTGACTTACTAAGGCGATTTCAAAGCAACAGGATGGATGACCAGAGGTGCCACTTACAAGAAAACTGTCGCACAGCATCCACAGCAGCTTCCTCTACTACCCCCAAGATGGTGAAAGGTAAGCCATTTTACTGCTCCTTCAATTGTAGTTCATTTGACTGATATGAGGCATGGCCCAGGCTGGCCTCACACTCATTATGTAGCCAGGGATGGCTTTGAATTCCTGATCCTCTTGTTTCCCTCCCAAGTACAGGGATTACAGATGCCATCATGCCCACTTTCCCCCAGTTTTAACAGTTGTCTTTGGTACTATTGTTTCTTGTACTTCTCCTTATAGGAAATACAGTAAAGGACCCCATAATACTAGCATATGGCACTGAGACAGGAGTATTAAAAGTATTCAAAGCCAGTCTGGGCCATTAGATAGTGAAACCCTGACTCAAGAAAAAAGGCTACTGCCGGGCGTTGGTGGCACACGCCTTTAATCCCAGCACTCGGGAGGCAGCACTGCACACACATACAAGGTAGTCATCTGTATATTATATACAGATAATAAAGCATATATTTCATATCTGAAATTTTAAAGGTTTAAAATACATTACTTATATTGTTATATTTCCCCACTAAAAGATGATTTGTACCATAGATTAACATTAACCAGTCTCAGCCAGGCAGTGGTGGTGTACACCTTTGGTCCCAGCACTCAGGAGGCAGAGGCAGGCAGATCTCTGAGTTCAAGGCCAGCCTGGTCTACAGAGTGAGTTTCAAGACCGCTAGGGCTACACAGAGAAACCCTGTCTTGAAAAACCAAATAAATAAGATTGACTAGTCTTTTAACTCTTTAGGTCAGTAAGTGATTTCCATCCAGAGCATGGAAGGAAACAAAACAAACATTAGATGAAATTATTAAAGGAAAACACCATTTGTTCATCGTCTTCTGAAATCCTGCCCCACACCTCAGTTATTTTGGGGGACACTACATAAAGGAAGAGAGGTCTGAGTACATCTGAAGCACTGCAGGAGAATGGTGTGTGTACAGGGGGTTCAGCCTATGTTTGACAAGCTTTTTTCTTTCCCACCTGTCCATAGCACCATCTGTCTCTGTGGTGTCCCCCAACACAGATGAGTTCTTAGATCTTCTTGCCAGCTCACAGAGCCGCCGTCTGGATGACCAGAGGGCCAGTTTCAGTAATTTGCCAGGGCTCCGTCTGACAAAAAACAGCAGTCAGTCTGTACTTGAGCGCCTGATGACAAATGACAAGAAAGAGCCTGATGAAGACTTCTTTGACATCCTTGTAAAGTGTCAAGTAAGTGTATACACATTCCATCTGTAGAATAGCTCAGACAGCTCTGGCAGTATTCAAATTCTTGTGAAGGGCTCATTGTGATCAGGCCATTCTTATCTACCTGTCTACATTCAGAACCTCATGGAACACCAGTGGTGTTACAGGTACAATTTGAGATATCAAGGATGCTCTTGCAGGGTCCTGCATTTTAGTGGGAAGACAAAGGGCAGATGTGTCCATTGTGCCAGAGACAGACAGGCAGTGGTACCTACTGTAAAGAAAATAAAGGATGAAGGGGCAATGGATGGGTAGTGACTGGGAGACATCTGTTTTGTATATAATTGGCAATCCAGAAGGGTTTTATCTACCCATTTAGACCACTTATGCAGATAGCTTCAGAAGAAGGCACAGAAGTATATTTCAGAAATGTAATCTAGTGATTACAGTTTGTTGGCCCTTGGCCTAGGTCATTCTAGAAATGTTACATACAAACCTCTGTAAAGACTGGGCAGTTGCCCTTGCATTGTAGTGTCATATTTCTCACAGCAAAGTGTAATAGTATGATATAATATATTTATGCAGCCCATTTCTACAGAATACTACATTCTCATTCTACCAAGTTTCTGAATGAGGCTAAAAGAAATGCTTATAGATCTGTCTTGTGACCGACAGACATTTTTAATTTAATTTCTCTCCATCTTTAGGGGTCCAGATTAGATGATCAAAGATGTGCTCCACCACCTGCCACCACAAAGGGGCCAACCGTCCCTGATGAAGACTTTTTCAGCCTCATTTTACGCTCTCAAGCTAAAAGAATGGATGAACAAAGAGTTCTTTTGCAGAGAGATCCAAACAGAGACACTGAACTTGGACTAAAGGAACTTTTGCAAAACAATGCTTTGTTGGAATTTAAGCATTCAGGAAAGTAACTAGCAAACCACTAGATGCTGTGGTATTTCCTGCTAAAGACTAGTTCCCTTTGGAACACTGCAGGGAAATTCAACCTTTTCTAAAAGAGGGAACTATCCAGCACTGTACTAGTTACAATGTTTTAGGTGTAAATGCTGAAGTACTCAGGGGCTGACATTCTTGTAGATGCTTGTTTCAGGGCAGAATATCCTGTTGGTGCTCCAGCAACTTACTCTTAGATTCCTTGACTAGCGTTTGTGAACTAGGAATTTAAATGAACCCTACATTAGAATTCAGTCCTCTTACTGAAGTCATTTTTTAAGGATCTAGTTGACAATAACTTTTTTTATACTTATCCTTGAATATAGTGGATTGCATTGTTTATTGAAAATAATGTAAATGTCCTATGTAAAAAAGATGAAAAACAGTCATAAAATTCTAGTTTCTTTAAGAAGACTATATTCAATATATTTCTAGGCAAAGCCAGTGGGAGAAATAAGAAATAAACTACTTTTAGCATGCTTTGGGCTATTTGTCTCTTATTACATAATACTACTATATTATTGTTGGGAAAATCAGAAAATCATGTGGTTTGTTTGGTCAGAAATGCAAACTATATAAGCAGAAAACACATTAAAATTCACATAAGCACAAAGGGCATTGGTTAGGTCCTCAGCCCTCATTAGACCCTGCCTTCCTCCAGTGTACTAACATGAATTTACAAGACAATGAATGATCTTCTGGCGTGCATTTGGGGAAGACATTTTTCTTACAAGAAAATTCATTGAGAAAGCAAGAATGCATGCTAGATCAAAATAATGTAAAAATAAGTGTTTATTTTGTGTTTACAGTGTTCTTAAGATCCTGTAAGTTATTTATTCCATTTTAAAAAGTGCTTTTAACAGCTACCTATCCTGTTCTTATTTTCTTAAAAGCCAGTTGCAATATGCTTTAATGTCAGTGACAGATACTTGCTAGTAAACTGAGACAACCTTCTCTCTTTTCTGCAATAAACTGGCCTTGATAGGTTCACCTTGTTTTTAATTGAGTCTTCCCTGAATTGCTGTCATCACTCAAGAGCAGCATGCTGCTTTGCTAGCTGTCAGAGTAGATTCCATTCCCAAATGGGCATCTGCAATGAAAATACAAAGATGAGGTTGTAAATGTTTTAAAAGTGTTCGTTTTTGGATTAAAAGCAAGCAGTAGTGCAACAGTACTGCCTTTCGTCTCAGGAACATCTGTTACAGGAGATATTTATTTCTCTTCAGAATTATACCAGAGCTCAAAGGTCAAGTCCCACCTTGGGAGTACATTTCCAGTTAGGGGGAATGGGTCCAGTCCACAGAGATAACTGCTTCTACACACAGATGTTCAGAATCTAAATAAACTATGCATCCATTCATTACATGTCTGCTATAGTAATGTCTTACTGCAAAATCCTTCTGTTTAGGAGGGGATAATTTTTACCCCCTCCAAAACAGTATACAGTATGGATATGGTTACAACAAGGACACCTAAGAGCATAGAAAGCATGTTAACCAGGGACTTGTACAAAGTATGTAAATTGCTTTTTTTTTAAGGTTTAAAATGGAGAATGCATTTTAAAAATCACAAACAAAATGTTGACGTAAAAAATGTTGACTGACAATCTGTCCACAGTAAATACATCTTGCTCTCTATCTACAGCTCTCTGAAAACCAGAATCGCACTTAGCCAAGACAATATAGTTTGCCACAATAAAAACTGAATAGCATCAACTGGCTGAGTTCTGAACATGGAACCTGGGTGTTTGAAAATCCAGCACCTTGTGGTGGAGAATAAAGCTATTGTCACTGATGAAGTGTGACAGTGAAATATTGATAGAAGCAGGCCAGCCTCGGGTGTGTCTTAGTGAGACCCAATATAAAATGTATGACAAGGAAGCAGGCCTGGTAAGCAGAAAGTCACATTGTTCAGCAGGTGACCTTCCTGGAACATAGCTGCAGCATTACCAGCCTGCATTAAACACTGAATCTAACTCAAAACCAACCAATTATTCTGTTAGTAAACTAGGTCTCATAGGACCTTCCACCAGCTAACATACACTGATTAACTGGTTCTTCTAAATGCCTGTTAACAAAATTATTTCATCACTGTCATTCAGTCACCTTAATTACAGTATATTATGCCATAGCATCATCTAAACATGTATACAACCCTGTTCTAAAATTATAAGATACATTTTAACAGCTAAGAGATTGGTGGTCTGTAAAATTAATGTAAAGCTGGCAGCTTTATAGGAAATGTCAGTACATTTTTAGGGAAGAATGAAGAGTTAATACTTTACAAACTTCAACGATGACTTCATGTTCCTTAGCCACACAGGCTGCTGACAGGATCAGTCCGACATGCTGCACATGGGCTATGTGTGGCGCCTCCCTGTGGGCTGCCATCAGAGTCTAGCTTCAGCGGGGCCTTCTTTGTGGGTGAGCCTTCCACAGTCCCTGCAGCTTGGCCAGAGACAGCCTTGTCAGGAGAGCTGTGTTCTGTTGGGGTGCTTTCTCCTGGGAGTTCACCAAGTTCTTTGAGGTTTGTATTTATGCTGGATGATTTATGCTTTAAAATACAGAATTAAATTTAATAAAATGTAAGTTCTTATCCAAATCTATTGTAGTATGCTCCAAACATTTAAAAATCCTAGTTCTAGAGCTTCATCATAATTAAAGCTCTAAGCCTCATAGAACTGTATGTGGAGGAATGGGAACACATAAGCTGGTTTACTGACCCTGCTTAGGAGAAAGAGGTCAAGAGGATTGGCTACCTCTCCCCACTGGTGAGAACAATCACTTCGTATCTATTGAGCCTGTTTTAAGTTCTAGGTGCTGAATAAAGGAGCAAAATACAAATATAGCTCCCATAGGAACCCACACTTAAGTGTGGGAATGAATCAGACAGCATACAAGAGTATTACATTTGAAGTACACGCCACACAGAAAAAGTGAGGTGGGTGCTAGACAGACGATGATCACATGGAAGATTAAATATTAAGATGATATGAGTAAAGTCTGAAGATTCTGTGTGAGTGTGCGCACACGCATTGGCACACAGCATTTTGGACAGTGAACAACAAAATGGATGCCTCTGTCACCAAGGTAGAACAAGCATAGAGGAGATCAGGAAGGATGTACATGTGGGGCATGGCAGAGCAGAGAGTTCCCAGGGCCACTAGGGTCGACAGCTTTAGAGGGGTTTAGAATGACAGGTGATCAACAGCTACAAAAGCTGGAAGGAATAGTCTCAGGTTATCTAGCCACATTACACCCATAAAAGAACTCAGCTAGATTTCTGTCATTTCTAGAGTCTCTCATACTTAGAGCTTTCTCAAAGGTTTCTAGTTGAAACTCAAACATTGCAAATGACAATACCAGTTCCTATCTCAGGCAGAAAGGAAATGTCCCTTTAAAATAAACCAAAAGTGATGCTACAAAATGTAGTTCAGTGGTCTATCATGTGTGAGACCCTAGGTTCAATGCCTAGGATTGCTGATAAAAATCAATACTGAAGAACTCATTATCTTGCCCGTAAAAAGTGCAGTCTAGCCAGCCATGCGACTACTTTCTTCTACACTCAAAAGCGATGGGATTCTGTTTAGAGAAGGGGAAAGCAGGCCTCTATCCCTGCCCAGCCCTCTCTTCCGGGCTGAGCCATCAGAGCTCTGCAGTCAGTCCCTTAGCACTCTAGGCCCTCAGTGAGGCCTTCTCTCTGATCTTGTCAAAGCCGAAATTTCATTCTCACTGGCTTCCTGCTCGTTTTCATAGGAAATACCATCTGTTGTAAAGAATACAGGTAAATGGCATTTAACATAAAAAGTAAATCTCATTTTCTGAGGACAAAAACGAAAGAGGATAGCTAATCCTACCACTAGTGACTTGACAGAGGGCAAAGAATAAACACAAATCTCTGTAAGAAGGTCTTGGGCCTAGAGAGAACAGGCAGCAAAAGAAACAATTGCTGACTTACGCTGGGTACCACTTCTGGACGCTCTTGTGCCTCTGTGTCAGGTAAATCAAATGCCCGGAGCACTTCAGGGCTCTTGTTGCCAGTGTGAAATCTCACATCAGTGTCTGTCTGTCTCAAAACATCTCTTTTACACGCATGCGTTTTGTCATAAGGGCCTTGCTCAATGGAGCCAGCTTGGCCCCTGTAAGAGAAATCTGCATCACCTGCTCCACCATGGAGTCTATATTCAGGTTCCTTCTGCTGTCTTCTGTCACCTGGCTCAAGTGCCTGGGGAGGTTCTCTTTCAGGACCACCCACGTGTCTCAGCATGGGAACTGACCTTCCAGCACCATAGCAGAAGCTCTGTAAAGAAATGAAATACATTTTGAGGAATTAGTGACTGGCAGGTAATGAAGGAGGATCTATTTTATTCAGGATTTAACAAAATCATCTTAGTATTTGTGGGTATGAAAACTATTAATTTCACTCTTTAATTAAAAACTCAGAGGCCAAAGTAGCCAATGAAATGTACTAAATAACTCAATAGTACATAAACATTTCAATCAGCTTGATACATTTTGAATTCATAACAAGAGTATTCTTAGGCCTAGACATTTAAATTAGAAAGTTCTAGAAATATGAATTTAAAAGCCTGGTCACTGCTCATGTTTCTATTCACACTCTTATAGGGCAAATGATGAAAACTATTAACCACGCAATCTCATAATCATGCACAAGACAAAACCCAAGAGAACAATTTCGTCAGTGCGTACAGCACTGCAATTCCAAACCCTGGGAGTCTTCATTGCTCATTCAGACAGCAATTGCTTTGGGAAGGTCTTGGCCATAAACAAGATGCTGAACCAACTGCGGGCGAACTACAAGCAATGTTTTTAACAAACATTTACTCTTCGGTCCCCTGCCCCAACACACAACTGCTTTTCAGCATGCATACCCACTCCTCCTCCACCCCTTTCTGCTGCAAAACTAGACTGGAGTAAAGCTTCATTTCTCTACAGAGGACGCAATCAACCAATTTCCTGTGTAGTCAAGTTAAAGTTAAAAAAATTATTCTAAACCATTGCTATGGTGCCTACAAACATGATTAGAGAAATATATAAAATCTCAACTCATTAAAAATCACCTTAAGAGATTAAAGAAGATATAAGAAAATGGAAAGATCTCCCATGCTCTTGGATAGGCAGGATCAACGTAGTAAAAATGGCAATCCTGCCAAAAGCAATCTACAGATTCAATGCAATCCCCATTAAAATACTAGCAAAATTCTTCACAGACCTTGAAAGAACAATGATCAACTTCGTATGGAAAAACAAAAGACCCAGGTTAGCTAAAAGAACCTTATTCAACAAAGCAACATCTGGAGGCATCACCATCTCTGACTTCAAGCTTTATTATAGAACTGTAGTCCTGAAAACAGCTTGGTATTGGAACAAAAATAGACAGGTAGAACAATGGAATCAAACTGAACACCCTGATATTAACCCATGCATGTATGAACATCTGGCCTTTGACAAAGAAGCTAAAAATATACAATGGAAAAAAGAAAGCATCTTCAACAAATGGTGCTGGCATTACTGGATGCTGGCATGTAGAAGAATGCGGATCGATCCATGTCTATCGCCATGCACAAAACTTAAGTCCAAATGGATCAAAGACCTCAACATAAATCCAGCCACACTGAGCCTCTTGGAAGAGAAAGTGGGTGGTACCCTTGAACGAATTGGTACAGGAGACAGCTTCCTGAACATAACACCAGTAGCACAGACACTGAGGTCAATAATTATTACATGGGACCTCCTGAAACTGAGAAGCTTCTGTAAGGCAAAGGATACAGTCAACAAGACAAAAAGGCAACCCACAAAATGGGAAAAAATATTCACTAACCCCACATCTGACAGAGGGCTGACCTCCAAAATTTACAAAGAACTCAAGAAGCAAGTCTCCAAAACACCAAATGATCCAATTAAAAATGGGCTACAGAACTAAATAGAGAATTCTTAATAGGGGAGTCTACAATGGCTGAGAGGCACTTGAGAAAGTGCTCAACATCCGTAGTCATCAGGGAAATGCAAAGCAAAACAACTCTGAGATACCATCTCACTCCTGTCAGAAGGGCTAAAATCAAAAAACACCAACAACAGTTTATGCTGGAGAGGATGTGGAGAAAGGGGAACACTCCTTCACTGCTGGTGGGAGTGCCAACTCATACAGCCACTTTGGAAATCAGTATGGAGATTCTCAGAAAAATGGGAATCAGCCTACCATAAGACCCAGCAATTCCACTCTTAGGCATATATTCAAAAGACATCTGTTCCACTATGTTCATAGCAGCATTATTTGTAATAGTCAGAACTTGGAAGCAACCTAAATTCCCCTCAACTGAAGAGTGGATAGAGAAAATGTGGTGCATTTACACAATGGAGTACTACTCAGCAGAAAATAACAATGGAATCCTGAAATTTGCGGGCAAATGGATGGCACTAGAAGAAACCATCCTGAGTGAGGTTAACCCAGTCACAAAAAGACAAACATGGTAGGTACTCTCTCATATATGGATTTTAGACATAGATCTGGAGAGTGCCAGCATACAATCCCATGGCCAGATCAGAACCTTCATCCAATGGCTGATGGAAGCAGAGACAGACTCCCACAACTAAACACTGAGCTGAACTCAAGGAACCCAGAGACAGAGAGGGAGGATTGATGAGCAAAGGGGTTAAGACTGGGCTGGTTTAACACCCAGAAACAGCTGACTTGAACAAGGGGTAGCTCTTGAATCCCAGACTGATGGCTGGGAATCCAGCATGGGATTGATCAAGACCCCCTGAATGTGGGTGTCAGTGAGGAGGCTTAGGTAATCTTTTGGGCCTTGGGTAGTAGATCAATATTTATCCCGGGTATACAAATGGACTTTGGGTGCCCATTGCACAATGAAAGATGTACTCTCACCCTGGACTCTTGGGGCAGGGTCTAGGCCCTGCCCTGGATGAAATGACAGACATGGACACCCCCATGGAGGGCCTCACCCTCCCTGGGGAAAGGAAAGGGCATGGGGGGGTGTTAGTGGGAGGGTATGGGAGGAGAGGAGGGAAAGGGAGAGGGACCTGGGATTGACATGTGAAGCAACCTTGTTTCTAATTTAAATTTAAAAATAAAAATAAATCACCTGTATTATACCTCTGAGCACAGTATATTAATCCAAAGAAATCTAATGGTTTTTAAATTGCCTTCTTTTTTATAAGTTACAATTTTGTTAATTATCAGCATTTAGGCTAATGTACTAACCAGGACAGCCAATGCTATAATCACCAGCACCGGAATCTGCAGTAACACTGGAATCTCTTTCATGAGTGCTTTAATGAATTCACCAGTTCCTTTTCCAATGTGCTTTAATGGTTCTGTTACAAAGTTAGTGAATGTAACTGCCAGAGCCTAAAACCAAAGATCAGAGCAAATTAACTTCTTCAAAAGACAGACATCCACGTGCAAAACTTCACTGTGCACTCAGGCTCAAATTACACAAATTAAATGCACATTTCTGTGTATTGTTTTGAGAGTGGAGCTCTCATATAGCTCAAACTTTACCCTAATCAGGCCTTGAATTCTACCCTCCCATCTCTGCTTCCCAAATGCTAAGATTGTTAGGTACACTCCATGACCACCTAAATTTGAAGACCAAAGTTTAATGGAAGTATTTTTCCTAGGACAAAGGTTTATTATTAACCCTATCAATCCTTTATAAAGGCAAAGAGTTTGTGATACTATAATTATTACAAAATACACTATACCTTTGTTGGTGGAACCAACCAAATAGGGTTGACTAATAATAGCTCATAGTACTTTTGGCATGGGTCATCCTTATAGGTCCATGAACTTCTAAACCATTCTACATAGAGAAACAGAAAATCAATTAAGGAAAAATAAAGTTGTATATATTTCACAAATAAGGTTACTTTGGTTTTGACCATCCTTGCCCACCCACTAATAAATTTTGAGTTGTTTTAGAATTTAAATAGACTCTCTGTAACGTTAACTATTTAATATCAAGTCTAAAATCATATTTTCAAAATCCATTCAAATTTGACAAATCTTATGGAGACAAAAAAGGTCTATTTTACAGATTTCCAAAGGAAAAATAATTAGCTGTTATACACGCATATAAACATAAGTAAAACCGAGAAGCATGAATAAAACTAGCAGGTCAGTTAATATCCTGGCTCAATAGCGTACTCTTGTACCTGTGCAAATGTTGTAACTGGGAGGAAATAATCTCTAATTATCTCAATAAAAATTCACTTTAAAAAGTCAATCTGACAAAACTTTTAAGACAGAATAATCTCTTAATTTTTCTTTCTTTCCTTTTTTTTGTTTTTTTTTTTTTTTTTTTGGTTTTTCAAGACAGGGTTTCTCTGTAGCTTTGGAGGCTGTCCTGGAACTCACTTTGTAGACCAGGTTGGCCTCGAACTCACAGAGGTCCGTCTGCCTCTGCCTCCCGAGTGCTGGGATTAAAGGCGTGCGCCACCAACGCCCGGCTTAATTTTTCTAAAGCAACCTTATGCACATTTGGAAACTGGCCTGCACTAGAGGAGGCACGTTGTCTCCTGAAGCCAAGAACCCGAGCTGAATTGGTCTAATCCCACAAGTTACAAAAGGGGACAACAGAGGGCTGGAGATGGCTCAGTGGCTAAGAGTATTGTAGCTCTTGCATAATATCAGATTCAGTTCCCAGCACCCACACGGGGTTCACAATCTGTAACCCCAGTTCCAGGGGATCTGACCTCCTTGGGCACAGGCTCACATGTGGTGCACAAAAATACATGCAGACAAACACCAAATTCAAAACAACAAATCTATAAAAAATCCAAGTTAATTCTGGGAAGGATAAAAAAATAAATTTTCACTTAGTTAAAAAACAAAACTAAACTGTAGGATCTAAGGAGACTAAAGTTAAAATAGCTGCTATTATATCTAGAAAATGCTATGGGGTAGGTAATGAGAAGGGAGCCTAGGAACCTGCAGTCTAATGTAGGAGACTGAAAACATCGAAACCACATATAAACAGTTGTTGTCTTTCCTGTGACTTTAGGTGAGTTCAGTAAGTCACTACTGTTTAAACTTAAGAAGGTATGTTTTCTTTGCTTTCACTTTGTTTGTTTTTGAAAAGGGAATAAGCCCTGGGTATTTCACAAGGTGGGCAAGATTCTAACACAGAGTTTCATCCCATCCCTTTTATCTTAAGGCAGGGTCATGTCTGGATTACCTTCCTCCAGCCCTAGCATATACCCTGTACATGTTCTTCTCATATTAAAGAAGTCACCAGAAGCCTCAGATGGCACTCCATAATTGTGTCATTACTGGTGGGTTTTGGTTTTTTTCCCTGAATCTTAGAATCCCACTTAAAACACTGCCACCTTACCCCAGAGACTTCCAGTCCAATCCATCTTCTCAGCACACACATCATTTAATGGTGCCATCTTGGCAACGTTAGCCTGATGCTGAGCAAAAGCTACCTGACCAGAACAAAGGGAGGCAGGAAAGAAAGCTGACAATGAAGGCTTGGCTTGACAATCCAACAAAATTTATTCCAACATTTTATCATTTATCCAAGCAAGACTGTAATTTTTTTTTTAGCTTAAGCTTTTTGAGACAGGTTCTCCCTGGCTGGCCTGAAACTCAATCTGTAGAGCAGGCTGTCCTCCTGCCTCACTAATGCTGGGATTAAAGACCCACACCACTATATCTGGACTAAACTAAGAAAAACAACATTTTAAAAGACTTTTTTTTTAGTTCATGGAAAAGCACACTCCCCCCCCCTTTGTTTTCTTTGAGACAAGGTCTTTTATAGCCCAGGCTGAACTTGCTATGGTGCTGAAGACAACCTTGAACTCTTTTTTTTTTTTTAAAGATTTATTTATTTATCACATATACAGTGTTCTGCCTACATGCCAGAAGAGGTCACCAGACTGAATTGTAGATGGTTGTGAGCCACCATGTGGTTGCTGGGAATTGAACTCAGGACCCCTGGAAGAGCAGTCAGTGCTCTTAACCTCTGAGCCATCTCTCCAGCCCGACAACCTTGAACTCTTAATCCTCCTGCTTGCACCTCTCAAGTGCTGGATTACAGGTGTACATTAGCACACCCGGCTAGAAAAGCAGTGAGGTTTTTGTTGTTGTTGTTGTTTTGGGGTTTTTTGCCCCTACCCCCACACCCGCCCCCTAGACAGAGTTTCTCTGTGTAGCAGCCCTGGCTGTCCTGAAACTCACTTTGGAGACCAGACTGGTCTCAAACTCACAGAGATCCACCTGCCTCTGCTTCCCAAATGCTGGGATTAAAGACGTGTGCCATCACCACCCAGCTAGAAAAGCAGTCTTAATGCAATAAAAAGGCTAAAAAAACAACTACAATGCCTCGTACCATCTTTGTACATAATTATGATGATGAAAAACTATCTTTTTTTTTATTTATTATGTATACAGCCTTCTGCCTGCATGCCAGCAGAGGGCACCAGATCTCATTCAAGGTGGTTGTGAGCCACCATGTGGTGGCCGGGATTTGAACTCAGGACCTTTGGAAGAACAGTCAGTGTTCTTAACCACTGAGCCATCTCTCCAGCCCCCGAAAAACTATCTTTTTATAATATTTTTTGTTGCTGCTATTTTTCAAGAGTTTTTCTGTGTAGCACTGGCTGTCCTAGAACTCACTCTATAGACCAGGCTGGCCTCGAACTCACAGGAATCCAACTACCTCTGCCTCCCAATGCCTCCCAAGTGATTAAAAGGCATGTGCCACCACCAACTAGCAAGACAATTTTTGAAAAGGAATTCACATATAGTTCATACCATGACTGAAAATATAAACAATTCAAGTTCTTTTATAGTTCATGAAAAAGGGTGTTTTGCTCTGGGTGGGTTTAACATAAATGATTACTGTTCAATAACTGGCTGGAAAAACTGTATAGGTATTAGACATGTGCAGCCATTTACCCAGCATTTACACTATATTAGGTATAAGGGTCCCACAGATGATTTCAAGTACTGAGAGATATACATAGCCTATATGCAGTGTTCTGTGTAACAGATCTGAGCCTCTTTTTCATCTAGGGGCAGGTGTACAGTTTTCCTAAAGCCACGTTCCCAGGGGAACTCACTAAAGCAATCAACACTCCATCAAGACTAACACAAAGGCTTTAGGAAACTCACTGAAGTCCTGACCCACCTTGCCAGGAAGACTAAGTTAAAATGTCCCTTTGGTGATTAGACTATTCTGTTAACAAAAGTCCTTTTAAATTTCTACAATCTTATTCCAATTTTTGGTTATGAGCCTAGCCTTTAACGGCTGAGCCATCTCTCCAGCCCTCCAATTTTGAAAGATGATTAAAATGCTGGAAAAATTTTGGAAAAAAAAATACTTAAAAAACATCAACAGGCCATGTCCTTAATCCCAGCATGTTCAAAGTAGGCAGAGCTGAGTTCAAGGTTAACCTAATTTACATATGGAGACCGTCTCTCAAAAAAGTAAAAATAGATAAAAATTTAACAACGATTACTCATAGGTAATAAGATTAATGTGAGTTTTAAAAATTAGTTTTCCTGTATCTTTGTTTTCTAATTTCTCTACAGTGACCATACAAAACTTTTATATTCAAAAAGCCTAATTCTTAGAGATAACATTTTCTGTCATAATTTTGGTGTCATTTCTAACAGAGAATAAAAGCTCATTTCCTGAATTACAAGTTTCTAAAATGTGTCCATTTTGCTGTTTGATGGCCGATAGTAAGCAGGTGACAAAAGGAACTGCTTTTCTTCACTAACTGATCAGACCCCTAAACCACATTTATTTATTCCATCACTGTTAACCCAACCACTGTCTTCAACCACACCTGAGGCAAGACTGCTCCAAGAGGGCTCTGATCGTCTCCAGTTACTATGAATTTATATTTAACAAAAAAGCACAAAGCAAACAAAACCCCAAACTTATTTAATACCTTATATAGATAAATCCAATTCCATCCCAAACTGAAGAGAAAGCTGATGATAAAAACTCGTCTCAACTGCGTGTACCAGCGAACATGTGTCCACAATTCCGTAGCTACCAACACCACAATGCAGAGCAAACACAATAGTACCTTATAACAGAAACGGGAATCAGTGTCATTGCTAAGTGGTCTTCCCCACTTACTCATCCCAGAAACGAGCAACTAAGAACAGATTCTCAACTATGCTGGTGTTTTGGAAGTATTTTTTTCAATGAAGCATCTATGTCACCCTCATGTCATCCTACCATAAACGCATTATATGGATCCACTCCAAAAGAGTCTTCAAATCGCCACTTCCATGCTTCTGAATCATGACGCTTAAAATTGATTAAAATATCACTTAAGGCATCATCCAAGGCTCCTGGCTTCCACTCCTCTCCACTGAGGAACCTCTGTATCTCCAACAGGGTTTGTCTTGTAAGCAGAATCTCAGCATCATACCGCACACCAACTTTGTTTTCATCAGGCTGCATCACAACAGAAAGATGACTGAATTATTACATTGTTCAATGAAAGATGACTGTATTATTACATCGCTCAATGAAACATTAAGTTTTTGGTTTTTTATGTTTTGTTTTATTTATTTTATTTAAATTAGAAACAAGCTTGCTTTACATGTCAATCCCAGCTCCTTCTCCCTTCGCTCCTCCCCTGCCCCCCTATCAACCCTCCCAAACCCCCACCCAATCCCCACTCCACTTCCTGGGGAGGGTGAGGCCTTCATGGGTGATCTCTAAAGTCTATCATATCATCCAGGGCAGAGTCTAGGCCCTCCCCATGTGTCCAGGCTGAGAGCATCCCTCCATGTGGAATGGGCTTCCAAAGCCCATTCAGATGCCAGGGATAAATATTGATCTAGTGCCCAAGGCACCAAAGATTGCCAAGGCCTCCTCACTGACACCCACGTTCAGGGGGTCTGGATTAGTCCCACGATGGCCGAAACATTAAGCTTAAAGCCAGTTTGGGCCAAATACGATTCCGCACATCTGCAATCCCAGCTCTCAGGAGGATGTTGCAAAGAACTTCAAGTTCAGGGTTAGCCTGGGCTACATACTGAGACCTTATCTCAAAGCATAAAAAACACTTTGGGACTCAATATAAAAAGGTGTAAACAGTTCTAGGTGCCAGCACCACTAAAAAAAGTGTACTAATTTGTAATGTTTCATAAATACAATATATACTTATCCTCAGATCCTAGCATTAAATACATGTAAAAAGCACTAAACACATTGCAGAATTCTAAAAATAAAAAAGATACCAGACGCTTCACTAAGGCACAGTTAGTCTCACTGTGTGAAGTACACAGATTCTACAAAGCCACTTGCAAGTGCTGTGCCACAGTCCTACCAGAAACACAGGGTTAAATTCCTGTGCACCCCTGGTCTCAATACTTGTCAACTGATACAACTTTATTTCTGTTGGCACCTTAATTAGAAATATTAGTAACTCATTACCACTGAACACACTGCCAACAGTCCTGTAATTCATGCCTGGATGAAGTTTACACAACATGTTTTTTCTGTAGGGCACATCATAGGTCTCTTGTATGTAGGGATAGTAGGTGGCACTTCACATTTGGGAGACATTACAAATGATGAAATTACTTAAAGAACTCCTCCCTGCCCTGTGTGTGGAAAATGTAGCATGTAATAGGCCACACTAAATTGCAGGAATAAAAACAGTGATCTGCGGTACTGGACCTCAAACAAAGCAGCTGAGTTACCAAATCCAGGGCCTTGCACAGCGGTTCTGAAAAAACAACAACAACAAATAAACAATAAAAATACGTGGGAAATTGGAGCTAGGGTTACTGCCCGGTGGTAACACTATGGCCGAGCATGGGTTTGCTCTCTGGCACTGCAAAACAATACAAGGAACTCTCACCATCGTAAGTAACATATGTGCATGATACACAATTCCACAAAGTAGGAGCTACACCATAAGCAGCGAAGAGAAAGACTACGTACTTGAAACACATTTTTCTTGTCCTCAAATGATGATTTTATATTTTGTGGCTATGCAAGCATGGCAATGGGGCCATGAGCAGACGGGTAGGATGGGAAAGGTGGCGCTGGTGGGCTAACCTCAGAGGTCTCAGGGAAACAGTGTGGTCTGTACGGCTCAGCTTCCACAGCGCCACTGTGGTGCTGAATGGTTCCCACCGTTTTGTATAAACAGGTTATTTTCTGTTAAAGCACAACGAGGCTCTATTTTTGGGGGGGTTACAGGCTGATCCAGAACTGGAAATTTCTTGCCTCAACCTCCTGAATGAGAAGATGGCAGATGTGTGCCCCATACAGGACACAATTTCCTATATGAAACAAATAATGAAAACATCTACTACAATGATTAGTATCATGTTATCAAATACTCACAAGTCCAAGCTTGTCGGCCTCAATTAATATCTTATTTAGGTATCTCCTAAAAACAGGATTACTTTGACTTTCATAATCTTTCATTTTCTTCTTTTCACAGTCATCAACCTGTAATCATACAAGAAAGTCAATAGCATCAAATGATAATGAGAAGGTGCAGTTGTAGTACTGTGGAGCATTAGTTTAAGATATGTTATATTTGTTTGTGCTGTGGAATATTTGCCCAATGATGCAAAGATGTGCTGCATTCTTTTTAATATTTAATTTTAAAATGTTTTTATTTATTTAAAAGGACTTTTTTCATTTTACATACCAATGACAGTTCTCTCTCCCTCCCATGTGCTGTATTCTTTTAAGTTGCATTTGTTTAACTCTGTAAAGCTGTGTTACTTTACCTGTCTAAAACACCTGATTGGTCTAATAAAGAGCTGAACAGCCAATAGCTAGGCAGGGCAGGAGAGGGCTAGGCAGGGCTGCCAGGCAGAAAAAAAAGTCTAGGCTTGAGAGAGAAAAGGAGAGGAAGATGCCAGGGGCCAACCACCCAGCCATAAAACAGCCATGGAATAAGAAGGGAAGAAAGACATATAGAATAAAGAAAGGTAAAAGCCCAGAGGCAGCAGGGCAATCTCAGCACTCCGGAGGCAGAGACAGGTGGATCTCTGTGAGTTCAAGGCTAGCCTGGTCTACAGAGCAAATTCAGGACAGGCTCCAAAGCTACAGAGAAACCCTGTCTCAACCCCCTGCCTACCGCCCCCAAAAAAAAGCCCAGAAGCAAAACATACTTAAACAGAAACAGGATAATTTAAGTTGAAAAAGCTGACAAGAAACAAGCCAAGCTAAGGCTGGGCATTCATAAGTAAGAATAAGTGTCCTGTTTTATGTGGGAGCTGGGTGGTGGACTCCCAGAGAGTAAAGAAAACAAAGCAACAACTACATTCTAGCCTGGTGATGCTCTCAGAATTAAATAACAATGTGGTTGTTGTTTTGTTTGACAATGCATAGGTTTACTGTAAGTGTGCCTAAAGAGCGACGGCAAACAGGTGCTCGGAGTGCTTGACTGAGCGCTTGACTGGGACACGGGGGCCTCAGTGAGCACTCTGGCTCACAAGACGGACACAGCTCCCGCCACCATCTACCGCTGGCCCTTGTCCTTGCATCTGTCTGTTCTCTTCAGCCTTGTCGCTGTGCCACTTGGGACCATCAGCACCACTGCACCTCCTCAGTGACCACACGACAACCTCCCTCCTCCCTCCAGGCTACAACCATTTCACTGTCTATAGAACCAACAGTGGTATCACAGTGACCAGAAAATACACTCAAATTCCCTAACACTCCGTTTCCTTTCAGATAAACTCTACATTTGAGGGAGGGAGGGAGGCAGAGGCAGGGAGGTCTCTGCGAGTTCAAGGCCAGCCTGGCCTACAGGACAGGTTTCAAAGCTACACAGAGAAAGCCTGTCTCAAAAACAAACAAAAATTTAAAAAGCGTAAAGAGCTACCCATACTAAATTATAACCACCTTTATCTTTGCAAGAGCAACTGTTACAACCTTTAATAAGCCATTTTCTCATCTGCTCACATACATCATCGATGGCTCAGGGTTATGGCAGGTGATAATAATCAAGATACAATCAGTTCCTGTACTAACAAGTTAATAATCTCACAAATAATTATAATAAATGTTACTACAAAGATAGTAAGTACTGGGATGGGGGAGGAGGCTCAGCAGTTAAGAGCACTGGCTGTTCTTCCAGAGGACCCAGGTTCAATCCCCAGCAACCACATGACAGCTTGCAACAGTCTGCAACTCCAGTTCCAAAGGCTCCAACACCCTCATACAGACACACATGCAGGCAAAAACACTAGTGCACATGAAATACAAATATAGTAACTACTATGTGAGAAAACAAGATGTAACTAAACTCTATCAATAAAAATATATAACTGTATAGTACACAGAAACATTACAAACGCAAAAGTTAGGAAAGACACGAACACAAGTAACTGTCTTAGTTAGGGTCACTATTGCAGTCATGAAGCACCATGACCAAAGCAACTTGGGGCAGAAAGAGTTTATTTGGTTCCACATCACTGTTCATCACTGAAGGAATGGGAACTCAAGCAGGGAAGGAACCAGGAAGCAAGAGCGGATGCAGAGGCCATGAAGAGGTTCTGCTTACTGGCTTACTCCACCTGCTTTCTTATTGAACCAAGGACCACCAGCTCAGGGGTGACCCCACACACTGGGCCCTCCTCCATCAATCGCTAATTAAGAAATTGCCCTATAGGCTTGCCTACGGCCCCATCTCATGAAGGTATTTTCTTAATTGAGGCTCCCTTCCTCTCAGATGACCTCAGTTTACATTAAGTTGGCATAAAACTAGTCAGCACAGTCACTTAAAATAAACGATATTTAAATTGTGAATGGAAAAAACAAACAAACAAACCTTGTGAGTTAAAGAATCAAGTCTGTGCAAGCAGTCTTTTAATTCCTCTGCATTTGACAAGTCAGGGCTCACTTCCTTTTTCTCGAATGTATCATATTTCACCTAAATCAAAGCAGATATCTTATTCAGTTGTAAAATGGGTTCCAATGACTAGAGACTAAAAGTCTATCGTTTTATTACTTTGCTTCTTAAATTTTTCACTTGCATCAAATCACCAAGAAGAATCAACTATACATGCATGCTAAGAACCAAAACTAAACTGGCTTAGTGGGCAGTACATCCAGATTCAAGCAAAAATAACCAGACCGGGAATGCTTGTCTATGTTAAGGCCCTAGTTCAAAACCCTGCATGGAAGGAAAGGGGGAAGTATCAGGATAGAACCTTGCATGGACTGCTAATCATTTATATGACTCTCAGAGCTCTGGTCATGGCAGACAAGATGCTATCAGTGCATTTAAAAAATAAATACCTGAGACTTTCTCATTGTTCCTGAAGCGGCATCATAATTAAGCATGTCTGTTGGGTCAATCCAGTCATCATCATGAGCATGACCAGTCATCAGGAAAAGACATCCACAAAGGAGCAGCCGACACAGCATCCTGAACACAGCTTTAAAAAAGCAGTGAAATACTAGCTTTTAAATAATTGTTTTGTTAATAAAAATTACTTCCTTCAAGAACTAACACTTTCCGAATGAAGAACATAAAGAATAGACATGAAATTAAAAGCAAAACATTAAAATGGATTGGGGTGTAGCTCAGTTAAAAGCACTTTACTAGCAAGAAGAAAGCCCTGGATTCAATTCCCAGTACCTCATAAACTGTACACTTGTAATCCTCACACTGAGGAGGTAGGTGAAGGAGGATCCGAAGTTTAAGGTCATCCTTAGCTACATACTGACTTTGAGGCCAGCCTGGGATGCATAATACACTATTTTAAAAAAATACAATAAGATGGTATTCACATCTAAATATATATACAAAGTAGCCTCATTAAAATATAGGGTTTTTTGTTTGTTTGTTTGAGACAGTGTTTCTTGGTATTGCTTTGGAGGTTGTCCTGGAACTCCCTCTGTAGACCAGGCTGGCCTCAAACTCACAGAGATCCGCCTGCCTCTGCCTCCCAAGTGCTGGGATTAAAGGCATATACCACCAATGACCAGCTAAAATATAGGCATTTTTTTTTTACATGGCACTGTCATTTTACTCCTAGCTCTTCTAAATCCAAAAGATATATGTGCACATAAAAATTTCTATATGAATGGGTACACAATTTTTCAAACTAGTCAAAAAACAGAAAGGAGCCCAAAAGTTTATCAACTACAACATGTGTAAATAAAATGTGGTAGCTATAAAGGATATATAAATGAAACCTTTATAAAATGCACTACAAGAAACCAGTCAGAAGAGACAATACAATTCCATTCATATGAATGTCCACATATACAAACATATGTCAGAAAGCCAATTAATGTGTGTTTAAGGCTGGGTTTGGGGGCTATATGTCCCTGAAGGATACAAGTATGAACAACTCTAAAGCTGTGATAATGGTGAGACACATCTGTGAATATACTGAAATGCAACAAACCAGCCTGTTGTTTTGGTTTTTGAGACAGGGTTTCTCTGCATAGCTCTGGCTATCCTAGAACTTGATCTGTAGATCAGGCTGACCTCAAACTTAAGATTCCCCTGCCTCTGCCTCCCAAGTGCTAGAATTAAAAGTGTGCACCACCATTGCCCAATTTTTTTTAAAGGTACTGGGTCTTGCTATATTGCTCAGACTAACATCAAAATCCTGGGCTCAAATATCCTCCTACCTGAGTCTCATGATGAGTTGACACTGTAGGTGTGCCTCGTGAATTTATTTCCTTATTTACGTGTGTGTGTGTGTGTGTGTGTGTGTATACACTTGTGCACACACCAAAGCCTAAGAACAACTGTTTGGGAGTCTCATCGTGCCTTCCCCTTATTGAAGCAGGGGTTCTCTGGTTGCTTCTGCCACTGTGACGCTTATCTGTCTAGCTAGCGGGTGAACATTTGCCTGTTCTCCTGTCTGTTGCTACAGTGCTGGGACTGCAGATGTGTGTCACTGTACCCAGCTTTTCACATGGCTTCTAGGGACCAAACTCAGGTCTTCAGGCACTTTCACCCCTGAATTTCTTTTTTCTTTTTTCTTTTTTTTTTTTTTTTTGAGACAGGGTTTCTCTGTGGCTTTGGAGGCTGTCCTGGAACTCACTCTGTAGACCAGGCTGGTCTTGAACTCACAGAGATCCACCTGCCTCTGCCTCCCGAGTGCTGGGATTAAAGGCATGTGCCACCAACGCCCGGCCACCCCTGAATTTCTTAAACTGAAAACAAAACAGTAGAACTAGATCCCCCAAGAAGAAGAAATTAAGATATAGACCAATAAGGAAGGCAATGTGAAAACCATTGTAAATCATTTATAAATTTATAAATAAAACCGTTTATAAATCATTATGCAAGCTGCTTCCTCTCCATTGAAGTACTCTCTTCCAGGAAGCCAGGCAGGCTTACATCCTGATGAAGTCCTCCCCAAAAAGTAAACAATTGCTGGGGGGTGGAGGGGACTCTTCAAAGACACAGCTTCCTCCAAGTGCCTCCACATCCCTGGTATAGTGTACCTTTCCCTTCTATAGATGCAGTTGCCCCCATGTGCCATAAGTAACCCCAATACATTCATTAGTCACTAAGCTAGACTTGGGTGGAATTGTTTCTTTGGTCTGTCGTTGCTCTCTTGTATCTGGGATGAATAAAAATAGTCTTATCAGGGGGCTAGAGAGATGGCTCAGCAGTTAAGAGCACTGGCTGCTCTTCCAGAGGCCCTGAGTTCAATTCCCAGCACCCACATAGCCTACAGAACCAGAAAATTGATTTGTTATTTAAGCAGTCCAGTGTATGATACTTTGTTATGGCAGTCCTAGAAAACTAATACAGATTTCTTTAGACACAGAAGACTAGATGTCTACAATCCATAGATTCCTTTTATGATGGTTGCAGGAATAAATCAAACATAGGCATATACTCAACTAACTGATACTTCTAATGCTTTTATGTTAGAAAATATAAAATCTAATACTAACATCATCTCATAGTCTGGAGACAGAAAAACTGAGTGACTGTGTTTTATTTTTATATTTTAAATGAGAAGAAATAGAGCTGCAGAAGAATTGTGGAAGAACATGAAGACTTAACAGAGCAAGAAAGAAACGCAAAGTGAAGACACCAATAAAAGGGCTGGAGAGATGGCTCTGGGGTAGAAGCACAGAGGTCCCAGGGATCCATTCCCAGCACCCACACGGCAGTTTAGAACTGGCTCTAACTCCAGTTCCAGTGCATCAGATGCCCTCTTCTGGTTTCAGCAGGTACTGCATGCACAGAGCACAAAGACCCACATGCATGCAAAACACACATAAACATAAAATAAAAATAAAGGGAAAATGTTTTTAAAAAGACACCAAGGGTTTGGCTGAAAGAAACAAGTACTAGTCATATTCAGCATTCAGTAGAGCTTGAGAAAAGGTCATTGGATGAGTTAATTCATTGACCATTTACTAAAAAAAAAGAGTGAAGGACCTAATTCTAAAGAGTTAAGAAGTAGGTGAGAGCCAGTCGTTGGTGGCGATGCCTTTAATCCTAGCACTCGGGAGGTGGAGACAGGTGAATCTCTATGAGTTCGAGGCCAGCCTGGTCTACCAAGTAAGTTCTAGGACAGGTTCCAAAACAAATACAGAGAAACCCTGTCTCGAAAAACCAAAAGAAAGAGAAGAAGGGAGGAGGAGGGGGGGTGAGAGTATATAAGCTGAATTGAGGCTTGCAAAGATGGGAGTTTATAAAACCAAGGATACAGGAAAGGCACCCTGTAACACTTCGTGGGCACCATGCACTTCATTAATAGAATGCATGAGAAGGAAGACAAACTTTCTCAAATAAACAGGGAGGTTAGGGCGGGGGAAGTGGAGAGTTAGCAAACAAAAGCAGAGGGTATTGTATAAAGGAAGGTGACCTTGAAAACCTGCCACTGGCAACCATGTCACTTTCTCCAATAATGACCAGCAGGTGCAGAGCTAACTAAGACTAGAGTGGTTAAAATGACCGGAGACCACCGGTCGGATACAATGCAGAATGAGCTGAGAAACCAAACGGGGGGGGGTTACAAAAGAAAACAAAAATACAATCAGCTGGGAATTCAAGCCCTCCTGTCAGAGTCCTGTGGCCATTAATTTAAGGCTAGAATTCTGAAGAAAATACTTAGGACTAATCTTGCACTCCCTCCAAAGCACCATCTAGACCTACTGAGCGCTTATTTTAAAAGCAAGTTTCTGAGTTGGAGCCAGCTTGAGCTACATAAAGAGTCTGGCTCAAAAAAACAAACAAAACATCACCACAAAAACATCATATGTTGCATTTGTTTATCGAAACAACCTGTGCTATTCTGTTTCTACCTCTTTTACCGTTTTTCTTTTTGGTTTTTCAAACAGGGGTTCTCTGTGTAGTCCTGGAACTCTGCAGATCAGGATGGCCTCGAACTCACAGAGATACACCTCCCTCTGCTTCCCAAGTGCTGGGATTAAAGGTGTGTGCACCACCTCACCCGGCTGAGAATTTGTATTTCTAATGTGTGTCCAGATGATGCTGGAAATTGCACGTCTGGGCACACATTAGGAACACTTCAGTGTCAGCCAGGTTCGAGGCCAGCCTGGTCTTCAGAGCGAGTTCCAAGACAGCCTCCAAAAGCTACAGAGATATCCTGCCTCGAAAACCCAAAAAAGAAATATTCATAGAATCACGGAGAAAACCTGACTCGTTTTCGCAACTAGCCATAAACACACTGGCTTACGACACCTCTTAACTTTATATACTCAAAACAGACTTGGAGTTTTAGACCATAAGCTACAACAAATACATTTTCTGGCCCCCAGTGTTTGTTGCAGATTATGCCTAGCTTTCAAAAATAACAAGAGCAAGAGTGCTCTTTCCCTGGGCCGGGCCGCTCAGTATTCACAGGGCAACGGAAGGTGAGGCAGGGGATGACTGGCGGGCGCTACCTGCCCGCGTGTGACACTGAGCAGGGGTTCGCCACAGGCCCAAGCCCTGACACCGCCCGACGCCTCCCGCACCGCCGCCCACGCAGCCCCGCGGGCCACCCAGACACATCCGGGCGCACCCACTCATTTTGGGGGTCCCGCCTGCCTACCCAGCGCCGCCGCGGCCAGCACTGACGCGGAAGACGGCGAGACACCCACCTCCGACGCCGAGCGCGGGCTCCGGGATCCAGCGCCGACTCATCGACTCGCTCGGCCCGCGGCTGGGCGGCCTTCCCGCGCGCGCCACTGATTGGCTGAGCCGCGGGCGGCGGGGCCCGGGGGCGGGCCTCGCTCCCAACTCTGAAGTTAAGGCTTTTCAATTAGCCAACCACCAATCCAGTTCAGAGGAACCGAGGGAAGAAAGCCAAACGCCTTAAAGGGATGCAAAGTATATTTTCTTAGTATTAGCTTGATTTTTTATATGTTTGATATAGTGTTTGCAATAAAACCGAATCTACTTCGAGCATAGTTTTCTTTTCAAGATTCATTTCACTTTCTGTGTATTGTTTTGCCTGTGGAGTTACAGAGGTTGTGAGCTGCCATGTGGGTGCTGGGATTTGAACTTGGATCCTCGGGAAGAGCAGCCAGTGCTATTAACCGTTGAGCGAAATCTCTAGCCGCGACCATAATTTTCTAAGTAGCACCACATTGAAGCCGGCAAATAAGAATTGACACACTATAGAGCATGTAGGATTTACGGTTTGTTTTGTGTTCATTTTCAATTTCTTGCTTTGAAATATCAAAAAAAAAAAACTCACCAAAGATCCCTACCTCCACCCTAGAAGTGGATACAAAAATTAACTGGCAATGAATTACCGCTGGTACGTAATTCGGTATTCCTGGGTACATATATGTTGTTTACAACTTTTTAAGATTTTAGTATTTTTAGATTTACTTATGTGTGAATGTTTTGCCTGTACGTGTTATGTATTCCGCATGTGTGTCTCATACCCACAGAGGCCAGAAAAGGGGGTCAGATCCCATGGAAATGGAGTCATGGATGTTTATGAATCACCATGTGGGTACTGGGACCCCGCTACAAAAGCATCACATGATCTAAACACGCTGAGCCATGTCTCTGGCCCCGAGGTCTATTTTATTTTTAATTATGAATGTGTGTGTCTATGCGTGTGACTTCGGGTGCCAGCAGAGGCCAGAAACATACCTTAGAGGTGGAGTTACAAAACGCAGGTGCTGGGTCTTCTGATGGAAGCTTCACCCCAGCCCCTGGCATCCCTGTACCCAGAGAGTCTGGAATGTTCTGGTGGAAGTTCCACCCAAGACCCCTCCCGTATCTCTCTCCAAACCCTGCTGCGTCTCAGAAAGCCCGCCAAATAATAACCCCTCCCCCAGAAATGCTCAAGACCACTCCCACGGGACATTTAAACTGCCCCCCAGAAAACAGACTCATGGTTTTTCCAGTCTCCCCTCCCCGTCTCCTCTCTGAGGGACTGGAAGCCCATCCTGGAGCGTTGTATCCATTAAACGTGGGCTTTTTCTAATTCGGTTAGATTTGGTCTGATTTGGATTGCTGCTTCGGCAGAGAGGCTTATCCCAGGTGTAGAAACTTTTCGCTGGGAACCAAACTCGGATCCTCTAGAAGAGCTGTATGTTCTTTTAGTAGCTAAACCGTCTCTCCATCTCTTGCTTCTGTGGCTGGTGGCCCACCAGATCTAGTTGGTAAGATAATATTGCTGGAGAAATCGCTTGCATAAGTCACACTGGAACTGAACAGGAAGCTTACTCTGGGTTGATTAGCTTTCATAGCACCAGAGGGCGCTATAGGCTGCTAGGAAGAAGTCATCAACAGTCTTGCCTTGCTATGGACCATGTGTGCTACCTTCTGACCTCCCAGGCAAGAATTGCCCACTTTTCAATAGTGGGTAGCCAGCCGTTTTCTGATTTAATGTGAAGCCCAATCCACAGGACAGAATTCACGCCTGGCACAGTAGGCCTAGTCAAAAGTCTGTGGTTGGGGAGGTTATATACCCTAATAGGGAAGTTACTATTGTTTAGCTGAATAGATATGTTGTGCATATTACACAGCCTTCCAGATACTTACGTTTATTCCCATAGATTAGTACTGCGCTCTCAGCTTTGGTCAAAGCAGCTTTGTAGTAACAGTGGCTACACAGAGACACCTAGATGCTGAGAATAAGTGACTTGAGTGTTCAGTCCTAAAAATGGGGGGTGTGGTAGAGTCTAAGAGCCAGGAGAGTAGGAGTGTTGTGAAATGGTCATTGCAGTCCTGCCTCACTAGTAGCTATGATTACCTACACAAGATCTGTTCAAGACTGTACCTGTCTTGACATCATTGTGAACACGGCAAAGGGCTCGTGAGGAGCTGTGGGCAGTTAATGATTACTGGGGAGAGGAGGTCTTTTCTTCAGTGGTACAGCAACTAGTACGTTGCCCATCCATGCTCCTATAGATAGCACAGATGCTATTTACACCTATGCTCATGTAAAAACCCTAATTAAACTCATATAGCTGTATCCCCTGCTCTTTATTAGCATATATTAATTATGGATACTGGTTGCATTTTATTTTCATACATGTTTGTAATGTATTTTGACCAAACCCACTTTCCATAGCCCTCTTCTGTCCCCCTCCCCATTCTCCAGATCTCATTTTTCACATCAGTCCCCCTTCTACTTCCGTGTCTGTGTGTGTGTGTGTGTGTGTGAGAGAGAGAGAGAGAGAGAGAGAGAGAGAGAGAGAGAGAGAGAGAGAGAGAGAGAGACCCAATGAGTTGAGTTATAGGTGCTTACACGTGAGGAGGAGTCCAAGGCTATCTTTGGATGTCGGGATTTGGGGCCACAGAACTCCTTCCCCCATCCCTACTAGTGGCAGTGATGCTCTGACATTGGCATCTCAAGGGAGAACAGGCTTATTTGGGCTCATAGCTCTGGGGCAGAGCCCAGCAGGAACTTGAAGCAGCTAGTCAGTCACCTTATATCTTCAATCGGAAAGCAGAGAGCAAGTGATCAAGGAATACTAGTGTTCAACTCGATTTCTGTTTTTATTCAGTCCAAAACTGAAATAGGGCTGCCTACAGTTAAGGTGGGTCTTCCTACCTCTATTAACCTAGAGGCATGTCCAACGACTATTTGTCAAGTTGACAATATTAGCCACCACATTATTCACCCAAACATATTTGATAAATCTCTGTTCTACCCTGTCATCTTTGACTGAAACATCAGGTGGTTGAGCCCAGCATGTCAGGACTTGGAGCCAAAAACTCCAGTAACACATAATTTTTTTTAAAGATCTGCTTCATATGAATGAATGTTTTGCCTGCACACATGTATGTGCATCACATGTGTGCCTATTGGACCCCCTGGATCTGAGTTTATGAGTTGTGAACCACCATATGGGTGCTGGGAATCAAACCCTGTCCTCTGCAAGAGCAACTAGTGTTCTTAACCACTGAGCCATCTCTCCACCCCCAGTAGTGTTTATTTAACAGTAGGATAGCTGAGTGGTGATTTTATTTTTATTTAAATCTGTATTTTGTAACAGGGTCTTACTACGTAGCCCCCAACAGGCCTCTAACTACCAAAGTCCACAGCCTCCCAGTGCTGGGATTGCAGGCAGATGCCAACACACCTGGGAGCTGCCAACCTCGCTATAAAGCATTTTATAATCACAAGTGCGCCCTACCCTGCATCCTCAACTGTGTTTGAATCCTTTTCTTTCTTTTTTTTTTTTTTTTGACGGTAGTAGTGGGAGATAGTGTCTTGTTTTGTTGCCCAAGCTGACTTCAAACTCTTGCACTGACTCCTAAGTGGCAAGGCATATAGGAATCAAGCAGCCTCCTGGAGAGAAATCTTTTCATGAATTTGATGACTATTCAAATCCCTTACTTTATAATCAAGGTTTTTGTTTATTTGGTTGCTTTTGAAAGCTCTAGCATTTTAGTAATCCTCTGTGTGTGTTTTGGACAGGGTCTCTATCACAACCTAGAAAGGCCTGAGATTTACTATGTAACCCAGGCTGGCCTTGAACTCCTGGCTATTCTCTTGCCTCATCCTCCCAACTGCCGTGTCCAGATAAATTAAACAAATAAGTAATAAGTATGTATATATGTCTGTCTGTCTATCTATCTATTGTTTGCTTTGTTTTTAGAGACAGGGTTTCTCTGCACAGCCCTGGCTATCCCGGAACTCACAAAGATCCTCCTCCTTCTGCCTTCTGAGAGCTGGAATTAAAGACGTGGTGGAACACCACCACCTGCTGATAATTATATATTCTTTTATATATTAATATTTATTTATTATGAATGCAACACCCTGCCTCCATGCCTGCCCGCCAGAAGAGGGCACCAGATCTCATTATGGATGGTTGTGAGCCACCATGTGGTTGCTGGGAATTGAATTCAGGATCTCTGTAAGAGCAGTCGGTGCTCTTAACCTCTAAGCCATCTCTCCAGCCCCGATAATTATATATTCTTAAAGGTTTGTGAATTTTATAGACTTCCTTTAACTGATTACTGTATCTTTTGTGCTTATAATTTTTGAGGAGAGCTAAATATTTTTTATTAAAAAAAGAAAAACAAAGAAAAGGGGGACCTCTGAATTAGACCTGGAGAGTCCAGCACAACTCTAACTCCTTTCTCACATCCTGAGAGCAGCTGGAAGAGCAGGCACTTCGGCCTTGGCATTTCCTTTTGTGTATGCAGTTCCGAATCTATTCAACCCCACGGGAATAGTCACAAGGAATGGTCAGAGGCATCTAAATAGTTACTACTAATAATTTCTGGTCTTTAATAAAGGCAGTGCAATAGAAGAAATGCAATCCAGGCCAGTGAGTGGCTGAGCAGATAGTGTTTGCCACCAGTCCTGATGATCTGAGTTTGATCCTTGAGACCAATATGGTACAAGGAGAAGACTAAATCCTAGAAGCTGTCCTGGCCTTCCTGTATGCGCCACAGCACATACAGAGAGACACATACACACACCTATGTGTATGTAAATAAATATAATAAAAATGTTAGAGAAATGAATTTCATACCTCACCTGGGAGGGTCTTGAAAGCTTTCTCCTGACAAAATGATTTAAGTGGGATACATACTTCATTTTATTTTCTGGTTTTTTGAGACGGGGTTTCTCAGTGTAGCCCTGGCTGTCCTGGAACTCACTCTGTAGACCAGGCTGGCCTCAAACTCACAGAGATCCACCCACCTCTGCCTCCCGAGTGCTAGGATTGGCAGGATACATTTTATAAACTTGGGGGAGGTGTGGTGGGAAGTGTTGAGACTCAAACCTAGAGACTCACACATCTCAAGAAGGCCTCTCCCACTGAGCTATATCCCTAAATCTGTATTTATTTATTTGAATATGAATTTTTTGAGACAGGGTCTCAGGATCTCCAATTTGCTACACAGGAACATAACACCATGCATATTTGCTACCATGAAACTTAAAAGATATGCTGATGAATTTTTGATATTTTATTATATACTAGGGTATATAATGTACCATTTCAAAAAGCTGGAAGAAACCATACAAAGGAGCTGAAATCCCATAGTATCCTATAAATACAATTTTTAAGAGAAAGGAGGAAGTAGGAGGGAGCGAGAAGGAGGGAAAATAGAGAGGAAAGAATTCACTGCCTTAGAATGACTGGGTAGCTGTGTACGTGGGGTTCCTGGAGCTGCTGCCCAGGGAAGGTCATCTGTAATTATTATAATGCCTTTTATGATAAATGAGTAATTTTGCCTATAGGGAAAACAGCTAATAGGAACTGTAAAAAATCTGCTCCTAAAATGCTGAGAGCTCATCTATGCAGGTGCTCCACATAGAACACAACACGGGCTGCAGCCATGCAGGTGCCCCACACAGAACACAGGGCGGGCTGCAGCCATGCAGGTGCCCCACACAGGACACAGGGCGGGCTGCAGCCATGCAGGTGCCCCACACAGAACACAGGGCGGGCTGCAGCCATGCAGGTGCCCCACACAGAACACAGGGCGGGCTGCAGCCATGCAGGTGCTCCACACAGGACACAGGGCGGCTGCAGCTATGCAGGTGCCCCACACAGGACACAGGGCGGCTGCAGCTATGCAGGTGTTCCACACAGGACACAGGGCGGGCTGCAGCTATGCAGGTGCTCCACACAGGACACAGGGCGGGCTGCAGCTATGCAGGTGCTCCACACAGAACACAACACGGGCTGCAGCCATGCAGGTGTTCCACACAGAACACAACACGGGCTGCAGCTATGCAGGTGCTCCACACAGGACACAACACGGGCTGCAGCTATGCAGGTGCTCCACACAGGACACAGGACGGCTGCAGCTATGCAGGTGCTCTACACAGAACACAGGGCGGGCTGCAGCTATGCAGGTGCTCCACACAGAACACAGGGCGGGCTGCAGCCATGCAGGTGCTCCACACAGAACACAACACGGGCTGCAGCCATGCAGGTGCTCCACACAGAACACAGGACTCCACACAGAACACAGGGCGGCTGCAGCCATGCAGGTGCTCCACACAGAACACAGGACTCCACACAGGACACAGGGCGGGCTGCAGCCATGCAGGTGCTCCACACAGAACACAGGACTCCACACAGGACACAGGGCGGGCTGCAGCCATGCAGGTGCCCCACTCAGACCTCCAGTAGAAGAACCTGCTGTGACCCCACAGTGACACCTTGGTCTGTAATGCATTCTTGCTAAGCAATACTTCTCCTGGGCTGTCAGAGCACACCAGGGCAGAATGCCTTGCCCATCAGTGAGCAAGAGAGGCTGCCTTTAAATGCCAAATTCCACTCAGTGACCTGGTGCAAACCTCAGACAAGTGGGAACAGCCAACGGGTATCCTCCAATCCAACTGGACAGAGGACTTCACCTGCACTCCCTGTGTACCACACGCCACTCTGTTTAGCACCGCAGGTAAGCAGTGTATTCCTTGGATGTTCTGCTTCCTGGAAAACAAAGTCACTTTTACTTGGTTTGATCAAAACCATTTGTTGTCCAAGAAAGAGGAAACAAAGTTTGATTTTGGAAATGAGAACAGCATCAATACATTCTTAGTTTAACTTTTGCCAAACATAAAGTGAGATCATGCTTGTTTTTTGCCTGACCTGCCCTAGTTTTTGTTTGTTTGTTTGTTTGTTTTATGAGACAGGGTTTCTCTGTATTGTTTTGGAGGCTGTCAGTCCAGCCCAGCCTCGAACTCACAGAGATCTGCCTGCCTCTGCTTCCAGAGTGCTGGGATTAAAGGCGTGTGCCACCACCGCCCGGCCACCTAGTTTTAAACTTATCAAAAATGACCATTAAAAATTCCTAAATGGGGGCTGGAGAGATGGCTCAGAGGTTAACAGCACTGGCTGCTCTTCCAAAGGTCCTGAGTTCAATTCCCAGCAAACACATAAATAAAATAAAATAGAGCCTGCAATGGTGGTACACACTTTGTTTGAGACAGGGTTGCCCTGTGTTAACAACCCTGGCTGTCCTGGAACTCACTCTTTAGACCAGGCTGACCTCGAACTCAACAGAGATCAGCCTGCCTCTGCCTCACAAGTGCTGGGATCAAAGGTGTGTGCTACCACGGCCTGGCTTTCACCTGGCTTTTTAATGTTTTGTAGTGCTGAGGACTGAACCCAGGGCCTTCCTCGTGCCCTTGCAAGTGCTTTACCATGGAGCTGTGTTCCAGGCCTGGCTGTGCCAGGCTTTGTTAAGTAAAATCACAAGAAAGGCTGGGATGCAGCTCAGGAGTAGTAAACTGCTGCTTAGCATGTGCAGAGTCTTGGGCTCAGCCCTCAACACCTGAAGCGGGAATCGGGGAAGGGTGAAGGGGGTGGGGCAGACAAACGCTGTCTGCTCTAGGGGCTACAGAGCTGTCAGTGGAGACTAGGAAACTAAGGAGTGGGGCGTGGGTCCATTCGTCCAGCAACTTTCTTTCCTTGGACCTACCTTCTCCAAGAAAACTGGGAGCAGCACTCTGGATGGAGTGCTATAGACTTAGACTGTGAGAAGCCAACAGAGTCTTAGGTGTCAAGAGGTCTTTATTGAAATAAAAGCACAGTTACACTTCTACTACCCTTCCCACTGTGGACTATAGATTTAAAATGCTTGCTACATATAGTGAACAGACAGGTCAATACAACTGCAGCTGAAATAAATAAAATAGCCTATTTAATAACTTAAAGTAAAATACTGGACAATATGAAAATAAAGATACATACAATGTTAGTATCTATAGTACTGTACAAATAAAATCATTATTCTTCATTACACAAAACTGTGCAAGAAAAATCCAAATAAGTTTCTGGAGTGCAAAGTTTCAGTTTTCCATTTTAAATTACCATGCAGACAGTTTTTCAAGCCATGCTAGGGTCATGGCAAAGTCTTTAATTTTTAAGAGGAAAATGCTACCCAGTAAATATACCCTACCATCAGATATTGTTCCACTTAACTGCGGCTGCTCTGCTTCTACAGTATCTTTTGGAAGGGAGGTATCTTGTGCATTCAAAAAATTGAAATCAACAAGTTCCCAAAGCAAAATAGTTACTTTTTAGTCCAAAACAAAGTAATGTGACAAATTAGCAACCACACCCTGGATTAAGGAAAAGAAAAGGCTGCTGCAGAATGAGCGAGAAGCAGTTTTCCCTTCATCCGTGAGCTCTAAAAATGATCCCTATGTAAAGACAATCATGAAAAATTTGAAAGACTTACCGAATTCTGATCTCTAGAAGACACGTGATACAATATGGGATTGTGACAAGAGCAAAGTAATTTCTGAACACCTATGTTTCATCTGGGGAGAACTTGGCTGTATTATATGTAACAGTTACTTAAATATTAATTCCGTGTCAGTGTGTGTATAAAACTGTTTCCTGGGCAAAACCCGAGAAGCGTATTTAATAATAAACCATGAATACATCCTGTACCTTGACTTGGCGTGCACACCAACATAAGAGCTCTTCTACAGACTTTGGCAAGGAGACTACACAGCAGCATGAACACACATGGAAGACTGAAAACCACCACCCAACACCTTCTGTTCATAGGACATGGTAACAGGGGCTTCCTTGTGCTAAAGTCTGTCTGCAGCGTCCTTCAGGTCTGTAGTCCTCACAATTCAGTAGTCTCGAGTCTCTGTGCTTGCGCTGCATAGACCTTCATGGGGTGGACTCTAGCCACTGTAAGTCCAGAGGGTCACAGTTCTGTCCGCAGAAGACGACAGGAAGGAAAGGTCCTGGGTGTGCCATCGGCACTGAATCACTTTGTCCTTGTGCTCCCCCACCACCATGAGAGGGAGCTGCTTGGTGAGGTCCCCTAGATTGAGAAAGAAGAAACATTGGCTTTAAGGGAAAGGTCGGCAGATACACAGACTGTACAGACTTCCTGCTACTTTGGGGATGCTACAGTAGAAAAGGTCTCGGCAGAGAGAAATGTCAGGGTCTGGTAACATACGCTGGCACATTTGTCACAGCTGCCCCCCTTCTCCAATGCTGCTCCATCTCACTCAAGACCTTCGCTCATCTTCCTTCCTTTCCTGATTTCAACTTTGATGGATCCCTGGAGTCAGCTGGCAGACCTCTTCTGTCCCCTGTACCTTTTTGTCTTTTTGTTTGGTTGGTTGGTTTTTGGTTTTTCCAGGTAGGGTTTCTCTGTGTAGCTTTGAAACCTGTCCTGGAACTTGATCTGTAGACCAGGCTGACCTCAAATTCACAGAGATCTGACTGGTATGAGCCACCACCACCCAGCACCCTCTGTATCTTACTTCCTCTGAAATTCCATATATCTAGGGTGTTTATATGCCTATGGTTCACAATCACCTTATCCCCAAACTTAAACTTCAGATTAGTAACCAACTATTTTTTTTTCTGAGACAGTGTCTCACTATGCTATCCTGGAACTCACTCTGTAGACCAGGCTGGTCTAAAACTCACAGAGATCCACCTGCCTCTGCCTCTGCCTCTGGAGTGTTGGGATTAAAATCGTGCGTCACTGCATTCAGCCTTTTAGTAATCATTTGATACTCCACTTGATTCCTTAGCAGCCATCTTAAATTTAAGTTTCTAACCTAATTTTTTGTTTTTTTGCCCAAATTTGTTCTGCCCTATTGATGTACCTGTCTCATTAGTGCACTGTCTTCATGCTTATGTCAGGAACTTGGGGACCACCACTGATTCCTGTTCTCTTACTGCCTACATCTAACTGGATCAAAACACCTCGGGCTCAGTTACTTCTCCCTCCACTTCGCACCCCCTTCCCAGACACCGCCCTCTCTGACTGCATTTCTGCTCCTGTCCTACTCACAGCACACACAAGGACTCAACTACTTTTAGATTGTAATCAGATCGTATTATTCCTTAATTAATCATCTTCCAAGGATTCGTGTCATAACTTTTTAATGCTGGCAGCTCATCAACAGCAAGTGTACTATTCTGGAGGGACACTAACAATGGGGAAGACACGTGTGAAGGACAGATCATACATGGGAAACAGATCTTTCTCTTAATTTTTCTATAACCTAAAACTGCTTTTAAAAACAGACCTTTGATGCCGATAAGCTCTGCCTCAGAATTAAGACTTTTGTGTTTCTTTCCTTGGGCTCACTGAGTTCCACCACCTTGGCTCCTTCAGTGTCATGACCACTCCAAGTCTGTCCCTGTCTCAGTATCCTGCTGTCACGCTTGGTACAGCTTTCTCCATCTCATAATTCAGGCCTCCATGCAAATGGCATCACCCTGTCTAAAATAGCCATCCCCTAACTACAGTCACTATCTCTACCAACTAATTTTTAAACAGCACTATCCAGTGCCTAAAAAATTATATTACTTGGTAGTTTATTTTTCACTGGCCTCTAAAATAACAAGCTCCATTAATATGGGAGTTAACTGTCTAATCTATCTGTTCCTAGTTGCTATAAAGCAAACATTTAGTTAATGAATGTTTAAAGATAAAACTAGACACTAAAGGACTAATGATATAAATTGTACAATATTATTTTTAAGGACGTTAAAGAGTATATAAATTCATTACTTATATCACAGAATAAGTCACTGTAGTGAATAAACTGAATAAAATGTGTTTTATTAAATAAAATTTCACTCCATTTCCCTAATAATTTACTACTAGAAATCTTAACTCAGTCTTAATAACTATAAAATTAAACCTCAAAAATGTTAATCATATCAGACTAGAAACAAAGACCCCAAATAGAATAGGAGACTAAAAACAAGGGCAGCCAATCTCATCACCTTGTAGGTCTGTCACCTTTATTTTCATATCGTAAGAGCCTGTTAACAAGTAGTGAGCTCCAGGAGAGAAGCGAACAGAGCGCACATCACTGGAATGCGGGTGGTAGCTCTGGACCATTCTGCCTCCTCTTATGTCATACAGCATGCAGCTAGAGTCTTCTTGACCAGTGGCTAAGAGACGGCCACTGGGATCCACGGCCACAGATGCCACCGCACTGCCTATAGTGGAGAAATGAAAGTTGCAACACAGAAAATTAATACACTTATGACACATGTAGTTGTTTATGTTCACTGAACCACACACCAATGATCTGATGTAGCTTATTAATACTGTTATACTGATTTGACACAGAATGTATTGTATAATGAAAGAGCCAAATTAATAATATCTTTTTTAGAAGCAAGAATAAAACAAGATCTGTAAGAAATGAGAACCTCGCCGGGCGTTGGTGGCGCACGCCTTTAATCCCAGCACTCGGGAGGCAGAGGCAGGCGGATCTCTGTGAGTTCAAGGCCAGCCTGGTCTACGGAGCGAGTTCCAGGACAGTCTCCAAAGCCACAGAGAAACCCTGTCTCAAAAACCAAAAAAAAAAAAAAAAAAAAAAAAGAAATGAGAACCTCTATTTCTTCTGAGTTGAAACCCCCCAGAATAACATTGTGAAACAGTGATAGAAAAACCACTTCTATCCCAGTGAGTTCAATACCAGGCAAGTCCTAAAAATTCCCCATTACTCAGCTTGGAATACCTACCTGAGGGAACAAGAAAACTAACAAATTATACTGTAAAGTAACAACATAGGAAATACCCCAAGGCAACCCATGACTTATTAACAACAGAAATTAAGTTCTGAGCCTGAAGGCTATAACCATAACTTTACTATGTATTTTTAATGGAGGCATTCATAACCCCAAACAAACACAAAAGGATAGTTTAAAAAATTAAATGTAAACTGATAGTTTGTGGACTTGCCAAAACTCAACTGTATCTAAGAAAATTTTATTACTTAGAATTGTTTTTCTTGTTAGGAAAAAGATTTGACTTTTCTTCTTAAAGGCGATCATTCACGAATATAAGATTGAAGAGTTGTGCTCAATACCCAAGTAGTTCAAGTACTCTGCAGAAACTTGATAGAAAAAAAGGACATAAATTTTATCTTTAAAAACAGTATAAACAATGGTATCTATGTACACGCAAAGGTAAACATGCCTATGGAAACTAAAATAATCTTTTCAAAACTTTGGCAAGAAAAAATAAACATTATGGTCTGGAAGAATTACATAAGAAAACATTAAATGAAAACGTAAAAGCTGAAAGGCTCAAGAAGTAAAGGCATACATGAAAGGTAGTTGAGCCTTCAATTCTAAGCTACGGGGTTTGAAGTTGAAGCATCTGCAAGTTTTTAAGCAAGAGGACTTCATGATATGAGATTAATCTAAGTGAAAATGTGTAAACAACTAAAATCGATTATAAAAGGAAGACAAAGCAGAATAACCAAATAATGAGGAACTCAGAGCTGAATTAAAAATGAAAGGATAAACAATATTGGCAGATTACTCAGTGGGTCTTAAAAAAAGTATGAATGAGTCCCAGAGGTCAAATAAAACAGCCTTCCTCAGACTAGTAACATCTCATTTGAATGCCTGAGAGTCTCAGTTGTATGAGGGAAAAAATTATCAGACTGAGACTTTATAGTAAACAAATTATCAAAATCAGAAAAGATGGAACCAGCGTAGCACATCAGGTAAAAGTATTTGTTACCAAACCTAGTGATCCGTTTGATTCTTGGAACCCCATAGTGAAAGGAGAGAACTGACTCTTCTCTACAGTTGTCCTAAGATCCAAGAGAACACCATAACACATGAGCACATACTCACACACATGCACACACACAAAGTAAATGCAATTAATCATCATTTTTCATTAGAGAAGCTGAGGACTGAGAATATGACTCAAAGGGAAAAGTGAAAGACCCAAATCCAGATCCATGATGCCCCATAGGAATGCTAGGCCAGGCATGCAGGTCTGCAATCTCAGTGCTGATGGCAAAGACAGGTTCACTGGCCAGCCAGTCTGGCAGACATGGCAAGCTCCATAATAAGTGAGGGACCCTCAAAAAATTTAATAATAAGGTAGAGAGAAACAGATGAAGATACCTGATGTCAACTAACCTTTGGTTTCTACATGAAAATACAGTGAGTGCATCCGCACATATGTGAACATATACAACATATACACTACATATATAAAAATACATGGAAAAATTAGGGAAAATGAGAGCAGATGACACACAGAGGAGAATGTTGAGGAATATTATTTTAATATGTGTTACATTTGTTTATGCTGTGGAACATTTGTTTTAATTATGCAAAGATGTGTTGTATTCTTTTATGTTGTATTTGCTTAACTATGTAAAGCTGTGTTACTTTGCCTGTCTAAAACACCTGATTGGTCTAATGAAGAGATGAACAGCCAATAGCAAGGCAAGAGAAAGGATAGGTGGGGTTAGCAGGCAGAGAGAAAATAAATAGGAGAAATTTAGGAGGATCAGATTTCAAGAAGCAAGAAAAAGAGGAGAGGAGTTGGCTAGGGGTCAGTTACCCAGCCACCCAGGAGCAAGAGTGAAAGTAAGATACACAGAAGAAAAGGAAAAAGCTCAGAGGCAAAAGGTAGGTGGGATAATTTAAGAAAAGCTGGCTATAGACCCTCCCCCAAATGATATGACAGACTTTGATGATCCCCATGGAAGGCCTCACTCACCGTCCCTGGGGAGTGGATGGGGGGGTGGGACAGGGGGCTGGTGGGGGACAATGGGAGGATGAGAGGGAGAGGAAACTGGGATTGATATGTAAAATAAGATTGTTTCTTAAAAAAAAAAACTGGCTAGAAATAAGCCAAGCTAAGACCAGACATTCATAAGAAGTAATAAGCCTCCATGTGTTTTACTTGGGAGCTGGGTGGTGGGCCCCTCAAAAGAGTAAAGAGTAAAAATAACAATAACAGGGGAACTATACAGAGTTGACTTTAAAGATATAAGATTATCGTGTCAAGAGAAACCTCAGTTCATTTCTTTAAAAAGTTGGTATTAATTCAGTTGTCTCTTGGACTTGGCACTTTACAATAGGTGGTTCATTATTCTGGTCCATGAAAAGATATGAACACTTAGTGTCTACTAGAGATGAGCACTAACAAGCAAAGCATTTTAAACAGACATTAAGAGTTCAGTGACAGAAAGCAGTGATGAGTGTGGAATGAGGGCAGTTAAAGGAGGTGTCTTGTGGTGGTGAGGTAATGCTGAATGAGACCTAAAGGTAAGAAAATACCAAGTCAGTCTCCACCTCAACTCTCAGCCCACCCCTGCTATTTTTTTTTCAGTCTCTTGTAGCCCAGGCTGGCCTGGTTTATTTGGCACAAAACATTAAACTCAGAGCTTCACATAAACTAGTCCAGCACTTTATCAGCTAAGCTACATTGCCAACCCTAGTTTTCCTTTTTACATGAAGATAGGGGTAGGGAAGCAGACACTAGTGTAATATTCACATCTATGCAAACCTACCAGTTCCATGGAATGTTGTGCCAACCACACGAACACAGCTTGGTACTCGAAGATCCCAGAATCTAACAGTCTTATCCTGGGAACCAGATGCAATCATCCAGCCACTCCAGGTATAAAGTGCTAAAATATGCCCTGTAAAAGACCATACATGCAATTACTACTGTGGGAAAGGCCTTTCCACAATTCATCCAAAAGTAAGTTCTTCTCAGGACTGGTTAACCAAATACATCATATCCTAGAGATTTTATATAATATCAAATAGATTAATTTTTAAAAATTCATTAAAACACACATCAAAACCACTATGAACAAATTCAATCTTTCTTTGGTGACTCCATTAGTAGAATAAGTCATTTCTGTATTTCAAGATATAACAATCAGTATACACACAAATTTGTCACTTGAAATAATGGCAACTTTTTCATGGAGAAGACACAGGCAGTTATTCTGTGAAGTGACATTACTAGCTTTGAATGAAATGTATACAGAATCCTATCTTAGACCTGTCACTTCCTGGCTTTACCCTTTCTTCATATATACATCATAAGATGGCTGTGAAGATTAAAGTAAAGGAATTCTGTGATGAGTAAATGGATGTTAATAATGCTATTATTATTACTCTGATATTCAAAACACACAATGAAAGTTTTTGAAATAAAAATCTGTCTCAAAAAGATGCATTGGAAGAGATTTATGCCACTAATGAGAACAGTACACAGCACAGGTTGAGCAAAGCCAGAGTGCACAGAGTGACTGTTACGTACCAGTGTGTCCACTCAAAGCATGAAGACCCTGTCCTCTTTGACAGTCTGTTGTGTAAATGTTACAGTCTCCTGCCCCAGCACTTATTAAGATAGCTCCACCACTCTCTGGGCCTTCCATAAATGCCAAATCTCGGATTGTCCCATCATGCATGCTAAATTCCAGATCTGGTCCTGAAACAGCAGTAAGAATTAAGAAAAAAAAATGCTGCTCAACTTACTGTGTGAAGAGGATGCTAACGTGCCTAAGCATGGGCCAAGGATAATTCAGTAGTGTTAGAGCAAAGCACAACGACACATCCTCAGAAAAACATCACAATAAAAACCATCATCTTGTATAGTAACCTAAAAAATTAATTTTAAAAATAATGCAGCAGTATGGTTTATATTTTTACTTAGGGATTGATATAATCAACTCATTTATTTATCACAAAACTTTAAGAAATCAAAATTGATTCAGTTATCACTGTCCTTAAAGCAGAGCTACAGAAAGTTCATTGCCTTCCTGTCTTTTATTTCAAACAAAAAGGACAGATTAACTCTACAAAGTATCCATTAATTCAATTATGGTAGTTATTTAAAAGGTTCTCTCTGCCTCTATTTCTGTCTCTTTTGTGTGTGTGTGTGCACGCACACACGAACGCTCACATGTGTACATGAGAGCACATGCACACTGTGCAAATGGTCTACCACTCAGCTATATCCCTAGTTCATAAAAATTATTTTCACCTTCGTGTTTTTCTAAAATTCATATACTATTTGGCTCCATGTAAGACTTTTATTTAAAGGAATAATACACAACGTTCTGAGACTTCCTTAGGGACAACAGAAAGACACAGCAGGGGCAAACGTTTGCGAACACTGGCATGTCAGCCACTGCTGCACTCAGGCCCTACCTGTTGCATTACAAGTCTCGGCATTGAAGGGCAGCACTTTCACATACTTGTCATTTGACCCCGTAGCTAATAACTGTCCACAAGGACTCCACGCCACACAATAAATGGATCCTTTATGATGTTTGTTTCTTTTAAATCGTACCACTGGCTGCTTAGGCACGTCATGTGCACTGAAAGAAAAAGTACATAAAGATATTTCAATTTCTTTTTTTTAATTTTAATTTTTATTTTTAAATTTAAATTTAAACTAGAAACAAGGCTGCTTCACATGTCAATTCCAGATCCCTCTCCCTTTCCCTCCCCTCCTCCTATGCCCTCCCACCAACCCCCCCAATATCCCCTCATTTCCCCAGGGAGGGTGAGGCCCTCCATGGGGGTGTCCATAGTCTGATATTTCAATTTCTTGATTTTTAAAATTAGTTAACACGAAATTCTCCATTATAAGGGAAGGAAGAAAAGAATATCCAGCAGCAAGGTGTTATCTTGCGAGAGGTTGGATTTCTTGGCTTCTTGAGATACAGCCTACAAAGCCTAGGATAGCTCTAAACTCAATAATCCTCCTGTCTCAGCTTCCAGAATGGTGATGTTAAATGAGAAAATCACCATATCCAACGGACAGTAGGTTATCTGACTTCTAAAATCACAAAATAATATAAACCATATTTTAACCGAAAACAGTAAAATTACAACTATTATACAAATCTCTCATTTCAGGTCACATAATAAATAGGATGTGTTTTTTTATCTCCATTTATCTTATTTTTCATAAATTTTTTCAGGAAAAAATAAACAAAAGAAAGCTAATACAAACTAAGAAAGTGCAATAAATATTTATTAACAAGTAATAAACAATGTGCTTTAATTTAAGAAAAGGTGAAAATGGGTAAAAATAAAAAAGGCAAGACCCCTCCAGAGTTTAAAATCTACTTGGAGTAGATAATGTCATGACCACTACATATAAGTCATTATGAGAAAGTATAAAGTTTTGAACTGTAAAAAAAAAAAGGAAGTTTTTTTCCCCAAGAAAATCAAAGTGTGCGAATAGCTGCAGGGAAGAGAAGACACAGATGAGAAGGGTTTGCTTGGGATGAGCCATGGCTCTCAAGCTCGAGACAAAGAAAGCCATCACATTAACTCTACACTTTGGCTGTGTCGCCACAACTACGGCCATTTCCCACTCCCTGATCTAAAATTTTGCTTTTTCCTTTTCAAGTATTTCTACTTAGTAACACAGAGCTGGCAAGGTAGTTCAATGGTTATGAGTATCTTCTGCGCTTGTGGAGGACCTGGGCTCAGTTCCCAGCACCCATGTGACTGCTCACAACTGTCTGACTCCAGTTCCAGGATCTGACACCTTCTTGGCCTCTATGGACACTGCATCATATGTGCACTTACACACAAGAGCACTCATCCACTCCATTTACTCATATAATGAGCAATAAAAATTTTAACACTCTGAACTAACAGGGGCTCTATGATTCCTTTCCCTAGTCTTTATTTTTTATTTATATGTATGTGTGTGTGTTTGTGCTTTTATGTATGCCTCAGTGAATTCAGGTGCCCTTGGAGGCAAGAACAGGGTGACACTGGAGTTAACAGTGTTTGTGAATCACCTGATGTGAGTACCAGGAACTGAACGCTGGTTCTCTGAAAGAACATCAAGTGCTCTCAACTACTCTATGCCTCTTATCTAAGCCTTTAAATGCTTTCAGAGGGCAAAAGTCAAAATTATTATTTATTATTATTCATGTATAGAGATAATAAAAATACTATAAAAACTCCATTAATTCTATCCTGTTAGGAGTATAATAAGTCTTTAAATGTTCTTTAAAATTGGTACTGTTGCCAGATGGTGGTGGCACGAGCCTTTAATCCCAGCACTCAGGAAGCAGAGGTAATCAGATCTCTGAATTTAAGACCAGCCTGATCTAACAGTGAGTTCCAAGACAACCAAGACTACACAGAGAAACCCTGTCTCGAAAAACCATAAATAAACAAACAACTGAAATGAAGCTCAACAGAAGGAAAGAAAGAACTGAAACATTAATAATGACAAATATGAAAAACAACCAACATAGCTAACTGAAAACTTAGGCAAGTAGAACAATGCAAACCAGCTGTTCTTACCTTGGGTCAATTTTGTCAGGATAAGCGCATACTCTTAAAGTTTTTGAATTTGAACCAACAGCATATAAACTACCACTTGGGTGAAAAGCCACTGCTCTAACAGCTTGTGTGTCTTCTAGAGTATTAATACAAACAAACTGTTTTTTTGATTTGTCATCCTATGGAAAGAATGAATGTAAAAGTCATTACATGGTTAAAAAAAACAAGCTTGAATCCATTTTAAATTCACTTCAACCATATTATTCCAATTTGATCACTTCATAGTAACTACCAGTACATCTTTTAGTTGACAAATCCAAATTAATCATAATGTTTCTAATTTTGCTAATTGTTACCAAACCAAAGTCAGACAAAAACAAAACATACTCAGCAGTTAAGAGCACTTGTTGCTCTTGCAGAGAACCCAGGTTCAGTCCCCAGCACCCACATGGCAGAAGTTCAGCAGCATAACTCCAGTCCAGGGGGAACTGATACCTTCTTCTGACACCAGGCACATACGTACTGTAGTTACATACATGCAGACACACAAAGTGCTGCCTTGAAAGAAATACATACATACACATGTCATATATATATTACACACATACACATATACATGTATACACTTTATGTATGTGTGTATACATATATCCTCTTAATCTGTAAGGAGTCTGTTTTTGTTTTGTATCATTTAACTGGAATACAAGAATTTTTACATATATAACATATAAATGTCACAGAAATAAGATTATACTGAATTCAAAACATAAACTAACAAATAAATATTTAAATTAAAAAAAAAAGAGCCTAGACAGTTAGCTCAGCAGGTAAGAGCACTGGCTGCTCTTACAGAGGACCTGGGTTCAAGCCCCATCAACCACATGGCGACTCATAGCCATGAATAACTGCGGTTCCAGGGAAATGGACGCCCTCTACTGGCCTTTGAGGTACCTGGCACACACATGGTGCACAGATACACATGCAGGCAAAACACCCACGGACAGAAACATTAAAACTAAAACAAACTATAACAGAATATCTATTCCCATATTAAGTTCTCTTTATCTGTTGAAAGGGAAACACACATAAACAGTTCTGGTAAAACAACAAAGCATCATTTGTCTTCTAATAGGAAACTTATGAGCTACTAGTTGAGAAACTGAGGAGAAGTAGTTCTAGACCAGGGAGGGCAACACAATCACTCTTTCAGGAAGAAAAGGGCCAATATAAAAGGCTATTATTAATTTAACCCACTTACATTAAAAACAGACAGTTTACTATTATTTCTGGCAATTAATATTTTAGCATTTCAAACTGAAATTGTAGAATGGCTTTTTAAAACTATGAAAATGATTTTAATCAAAATATCTGAGATTTGTGTTTATTTCAGGTGTCCGTTTCTGTCCACAGCACTCCCCCAGTTGAAGCAGGTCTATACAGAGATGTCCACAGTTCCTGCTGTCTTGTCCTTTGAAACAGCACTGCTACCTTAAGCAGAACTGACTGGTCTGGGAACAGGGATCTCTAGATGGCATGGTTGACAGCCTTAACCTCATCTTGTCTTTGGGAAATATCAATGTACACTTCAGCTCTTGAGTTCCTAAGAACTCAAGAATCACGGTGACCAGTGAAGGGACTTTCCCTCTTACTACCCACGCTTTCATGCATTCAGACAATACGCCTTCCTTAGCGAAGCAAAGGCAAAGCTAATGTCACATAGATTTCTCTTATCTAACTGAATTCTGTTATTCATATGGACTTTAGTCCATGTACAGGAAATGAATAGTATAGGGAAGATAAGAGAAATAGGAGAAGGATGGTTGATTAACACCCTTCTAAAATATTAATATTAAGAGTTTCTTTATAGCAGAAGTAACATAATTTGATTTTATTTGTGCCACAATGTGCTTTAAATTTTTTTAAAATGTAGCAATATGCATAACAGGAAACTTCATATAAAGATACAGATGTAACAAGAAGATTTCTGTGTGTTTGAGGTCAGCCTGGCAATTTTCAGGTCAGCTAAAACTACACACAAGACGCTATCTCAGGAAAAACAAAAACAAAACGAAACAAAAATACTTTGCAACACATACACATACAGAAAGAAACTTCTCCAAAACATTACCTCTTCCCCTTTTGATCTTGATAGATTCCCTGAAGAATCTCCAAGAGATGGCTTAATGACAGAATGTTCTGATGAGCTGTGGGGTATAAGTTCAAATAAAGTTTACTCTGAAAATTAAAACAGAAACTAAGTTCAAAGCTACTGTATGGAGACATTAGGGGCTCTGGGTTTGGTGATCCCAAGGAGAGTTGTAGAGAGAAGGTGCAATGCCATTCTAGAAAGAAGGTCAAGTCTCTACATTGTACAGTGAGTCTCTCCTCTGCTTGTCCCACAGTCCTGCAATGCTTAATTCTACTCCAAGCACAAGCCTAGAGATTGCTCTTTAGGAAAATTATTTGGCCTTGGAGAAAAAACAAAACAAACAAACAAAAACTAACCAAAACTGACAATTATCCCTTCCTAGAACAGTATTTCTAATTAATCCTTCTTTTGTAAGGAAAAAGAGAGATGAATCACCAACACATGCATTTCTTTTCTAACAAGCTCAAGGGAACTCTCAGGAATTACAGACCATCAGTGTCTTCCAAGTCCTCCAAGAAGCCCTTCTCATGAAAGTAAGAAACTAAAGCAAGTGAGCAAAGAGAAATGCTTCAAAGAACAAAGCCCCAAGACTACAAACATAATGACACAATTTACAGACAAGAGGATTTCACCTCAGGAAAAAACAAAAAACACAGAAAAAAAATCAATAGAAAATAGAAATGAGGAAATTACTAGGGACTTTTTCTAACTCCTAAACCTTAAATTTCTAGTTTTAAAAGGCCCACAGGGGCTGGGCGTTGGTGGCGCACACCTTTACTCCCAGCACTGGGGAGGCAGAGGCAGGCAGATCTCTGTGAGTTCGAGACCAGCCTGATCTACAAGAGATAGTTCCAGGACAGCCTCCAAAGTCATAGAGAAACCCTGCCTCGAAACCCCACAAAAAAAGGCCCATGGGGGAGTCAACAGAATGAAATTCCAGAACCTAAAAATTTCTGAGTGGAAAAAGCAACAGGCCTTACACAAATGATAAAGAGTCAAAAGGACATCAGACTTCTTCATAAGAGCACTGCAACTGGAAGGTTGTGTCACGGGGCTTTGAGTACTGTGAAATGGTTACCATCTCAATCCTATACCAACGCTGCTCCCGGAACAGTAAACATGAGCAGATATGCAAGGTCAGAGAAACTTTACTTCTGACACATATCCTTTTTCAAAGAACTACATGACATCCTTCAAATAGGGAATCCAACACAGGGAAAAGGAAAAGAACATCCCTGGAAAGTAGGAGGAAAGTCCCAGGATTCTCTAGGCCAGTTGTTTCACATAATTGCTTAAAGCCAGTAAATGAAAGCAAGAAGGATTCTGGAGTCATGTCCCAGAGAGAAAAGAGATAACAAATCACTGGGTGCTTTTTACACTAATGAAACGGTTTTGTTTCTTACATTTATTTATGGTGTGTGCACAGGTATGTGCCATGCTTTGTGCATGTGTGCAGGCATGGGTGTTAACTTGCTGTCTTCTCAGATCTCAGGCCCTCTGAGTAAAGCATAAATTTATAATCTAATTCCTGTCTCTACTCATGGGCATTTGGGTAATAGCCTGGGATCCTGTAGCCCAGCTATAAAAGCAGAATATGACATTAATTACAAGGCTAATTTCTATAAGTACACAAGTGTCAAAAGGAAGTTAAACATTTCTAAATTATCCTACCTGAGAAGTGTTTTATGGTAATGCAAGAAAATGTCCCTTGACTATTCTCATTGCATAAATTAACACTTGTTTATTGGTGATAGGAAGATAAAAAATGTTCTAACTGGTGAAAACATAAATATGCAAATTCTTTAGCTGCTATAATTTTTTCAATTGCCAAAATTGTCTTTCTATAATCACTTAAACATGTTCTAAAAATACCCTCTTGTACCCCAAAAGTCTGTGAGATTATCTGTTGAAAAAAGTCAAATACAAAGGGGGAAACTACGGACTCTCTCAATAAGATGGTCTATAAAAAAAACAGAACTTTCTTGGTGCTGGCAAGGAAGCAAAAGGAAAAGAGACAGGAAAGGAGTCTACAGCACAATTCAGACAGACAAGAGAAGGGAAGCTGGAGAGAAATTTGGAGCTAGTAAGCTCTCAGCTCAAGCTTATGTTCCTATTACTACAGTAGGAAGTTAACATTTCAGGTTTTACAGTCAAGCACTTACTTCTGGCTTCCACAAGGTGATTCTTCAAGAAACGGGATGAGATTTGTTGATCCAGGGTTACGAGGCGTGCTTGTGTGAATGTTTGAAGTATCGTGTATTAGCCTCTGACTGGAATCTTGGGGTGGCGTACTAAAACCAGTCACAGAAGAACTATTTGATCCACTGTTTTTGTTCCCAGTGCATTGTTGGTTGAGTACTGGCACCTCATTGCCAAGACTATCCATTCCAATATTTAATTCTCCAAGCTTTTGAATAGACCTATAAAAACAGTTTTTAAAAAAGTAGTTTAAAATAAAAATGTAGTTTAAAACATTTCTAACATATCCAAGGCTAAAGGTTTGAAAAGACAAACAAATGCACATATATAATCCAGGGAAATTTTTATTTAAATATGACCTCTATCAATTTAAGACAAGATACTAAAAAAAGATAATCCAACACCAGGTGATGCTGGCACACACCTTTAGTCCCTCCACTCAGGAGGTGAAGGCAGGAGGATCTCTGAGTCCAAGACCAGCCTGGTCTACAGAGTGAGTTCTAGGACAGCCAGAGTTACACAGAGAAAAAAAAGATAATCCAAATTTTACCACAGCATCACATTAAAGGAGACGGACCTGATGGAAGAATGTGCTTAGCATATGTATACTTTGGATTTAAAAAAAAAAGCTTAATTTCCAAATATTGTCAAAATAATATCACAGTACCAAACTTTCCTCTAACAAAATAAGCTATTTTCATTTCATTATCTCTAGTAGCATCCTGTCAACTATGACATGAATGATTACAGCAGATGACAAATGTCAAGTGATGCCCCTTATTCCAATCGGCATTCATTCACTCATCCTGTGACTAACGTCTGCCAGACTCTGACTGGGGCACTGCAGAGATAAAATGGGCAATAAACAATGCGACCTCAGTGCTTCCTCTCTAACGGTCTTCCCATCTGCACAGCCTGAGTCTCTGGGGCTCAGGCTTATGAAAGGCACAAAGAGGAAGATACGGGGCTCTCTTAGATCTGGGAAGCCTGGGTAGCATATATCTGTAATCCCCATCACAAGAAATGTTAAGGCAGAAAGATAAGGCCAGTCTGGCCTACATAGTGACACCCTCAAAAAAGCTGTGGTTTAGAACTGACCCAGGATCACCCTTTCAGCCCAGAGCCAAGAGGGAAGACTAACACAATAGGTCTAATTACTGAAGTGTGGTAGTTATGTGTGCTCTTTGAAGAAGTCTTTTACAAAAGGCAGGCATATACAAATCCCTGAGGCTAACCTGAATTACACAGAGACACTATTAACTCAAAAAACAAAAATATAATAATAACAAAAATCAGGAAAAAGTTAATATTTGTTAAATATTTATTAGGAACAAATTTAATTAGAATTTCTCAGATTATGCTTTTAGAGACATTAATCCTGTGATATGCTCCCCAAAAAGGACCTAAGTAAATTGACATTAAGTGTAAAGAGACTTCAAAATGCTCACATTAATATGATTGTCATTTGGGGATTTTTCTTTCTTTCCTTTTGAGTCAGGGTCTCTCATTTTATAGCCCAGTCTCTTAAAGTAGGGTAGAATGAAGGGAGGACAGAATGTGCCTAAAATAAGTGCCAAATCAGTAATGCCAATTATAATACTGATAAAACAATAAAGAGCATAAAATTATGAAGCAGCAATATTGAGGTAATGACAGAAAACTGATGTAGAAGTCACTTGAAAAGCATAGGCTAAACACACACAATTATAGACCTGACTATCCTATGGACCTAAAAATTAATTAATCAATTAATGTGAGGGAATGCATGTGACACCGCTTGCTTGTAGAGGTCAGAGGACAACTCATAGGAGTTGGTTGTCTCCTTCCACCATGTGGTTCTTGGGGACTAAAGTGAGGCCATCAGTTATGGTAGCAGGGGCTTTTGCCCTTCTGAGCCATCTCACTGGTCCTATGTCCTGTGGATGTCCTTTCCTTTTCTTTCTCTCTCTCTCTCTGTCTGTCTCTGTCTCTGTCCCTGTCTCTCTCTCTTGGTTTTTCAAGACAGGGTTTCTCTGTGTAGCTTTTGGAACCTGTTCTGAAACTCCCAGAAATCCTCCTGCCTCTGCCTCCTGAGTTGGGATTAAAGGTGTACACCACCACCACTTGGCCATCCTGTGGCTTTCTTTTTTTCTTTTTTTTTTTTTTTTTGGTTTTCCGAGACAGGGTTTCTCTGTGGCTTTGGAGGCTGTCCTGGAACTCGCTTGGTAGTCCAGGCTGGTCTCGAACTCACAGAGATCCGCCTGCCTCTGCCTCCCGAGTGCTGGGATTAAAGGCATGCGCCACCAACGCCTGGCCATCCTGTGGCTTTCTAAAGCGTACTTGTCTTTAATGTAATTTTAAGCTCCAATTACCAAACAAATCAAAAACAATTGTTTAACCGCAAATATACTCTACCCAGACCTGGTGGCTCAAGCCTATGATTCCAACAGTTGGAAGACAAAAAACAGATTTCTGTGAATTTAATGCTAGTCTGGTCTACATAGCAAGTTCTAGGCCAACAGGGTTACAGGCTAGACCTTGTCTCAAAAAAACAAACACCACAAAAAGCAAGCACTAATAACAAAACAATAAAGACACTCTAAACTGGAACTATTTTTGATTGTGTTTAAAGGATGCACACTCTTGAATAGTCTATTTCTAAGGCAACACATCTCAATTACTACTGGGATCACACATTCTTTTTCATACTTTATCATCTTCTAACTCATTGCAGGGTATCTTGTTTAGAAAGTCAAATGGCAACCATGACTTTGGTTGGCATGAAAAAAGAGGAGGGCATGAAAAAGTTATCCTAACCCAGCAATTGTCAATTCATCAGATTAGGATAATTCTGACAAGCAATAGCTTGATCCAAGATGATAAGAAAATACTCCCTGGGGCTGGAGAGTTGGCCCAGTAGTTAAGAGCACTGGCTGTTCTTCCAGATAACCCAGGTTCAATTCCCAGTAGCCACATAACAACTCAACTATCTAAACTCCGCTCTAAGGAAGTCTATGCCCTCTTCTGATGTGCCTGGGCAGCTGGCATGCATGTAGTACATATATACATAGCACGAGGCAAAACAGTCATACACATAAAATAAAAATGTTTAGAAGACAAACAAATAAATAAATAAAAAAGAAAGCTGAGTACTTTAATTCCAGCATTCAGATAGCAGAGGCAGATGGATCTCTGTGCTTTCAGGCTAGCCTGGTCTACAGAGGGAGTTTCAGGACAAGCTCCAAAGCTACACAGAGAAACCCTGCCTCGAAAAACCAAAGACAGACAGACAGACAGACAGACAAAGCACTCTCCAATGTGACTGCTCAGAGGCCTACTTAGACTATGAGGTCATCGTCATAAACATTCCCTGTGTGAAGGTTTGCTGATAGGATCAGTATCAGGATCAAAGGATACACACCATTCAGAGTCAAGCATGTATCACTTCTAACACTGATGAACACGAATAACTGAGAATCCTCACTATAACTGCCAAGCCATAATTATAATAGCTTCAGCACTTTTCCTACATGCCAGAACTGGTCTAAGTACATAGATATTAGGTACATGCATGCAATCTTCCAACAACCTCTGCTCATTTAAATACATATATTCTGGTTTCTTGATTTTTAAAAACTCACATATGCATAACATATTCAATCATTAAAGACAATATAGTTAATAGTTTAAGAAGAAATTTTAAGAATCTACAGGTTGCTTTTTTTTTTTTTAAGATAGTCTCATTTTGTTGGCCAGTCTGTCTGAACATTAACTCCTAGGCTCAAATGAGTATCCCACCTTGGCCTCTCAAATACTTAGAGCTATAGACACATGTCACTATGTCTGGCTAAATCTGAAGGTTTAAAAAGAATAATATAATTATAAAAATTAAACCACAGCATAGGACTCACAACATACCAGACACTGTTCTAAGTACATAAACAGTTGAACTCATTTACTCCTATGGCACCTGGGGAAAGTGGATGAGCAGACAGAAACTAAGTAGGGGCTAGAGAGAATGCTCAGCAGTTAAGAGCACTGACTGCTCTTCCAGAGAACCTAGGTCCAATTCCCAGCAACCATATGGTGGTTCACAACTGTCTGTAGTTCCAGTTCCAGGGGATCAGATGACTTCTGGCCTCCATGAGCACCAGGCATGAGCATGGTACACAGACATACACAGAGACAAAACACTAGCACAGATAAAATATTAAATGGGCTGGGCAGTGGTACACGCCTTTAATCCCAGCACTCAGGAGGCAGAGGTAGGAGGATCTTTGTGAGTTCAAGACCAGCCTGGTCTACAAGAGCTAGTTCCAGGACAGCCTCCAAAGCCACAGAGAAATCCTATCTCGAACCCCCCCCCAAAAAAGCAAAACAAACAAACAAAACAAAACAAAGGAAACAAAGCAGCCTCTCCTATATCCTCATCTATCTTGGGTAAAATGGGATTCACCTAGCTCACAAGTTTCCAGCCCATGGGCTAAACCACCACACTGCAGCTGCCGTTACTTGAAGAGAGACAAAAACTAGATTCTGTAACTGAAAGACATTATGTAATTCTATATTACATAAAACATTTTTAAATCCTGAAAATTTCAAACTACATAGAAAGTAGCAGTTTCTGGATGTTTTTTAAAGATTTATGTGCTTGCCTGCATGTGTGTTATGCACACCATGTGTGTATTTGGTGCCCACAAAGGCCAGAAGAGGAGTCAGAGTTGGTGGGGAGCCTTCTGACCACCATGTGGGTGCTGGGAACTGGACCTGGGTCTTGTGTGAGCAGCAGCACGTCCTCTTAATTGTGAGCTACCCTCCAGCCCCAGCAGCTATAACACACTTTAAACAGCGCTGTATGAATTTCCTATTTACAGAGAGGAGCAACAGACCTATTAAGAAACTGTTCCGTGAGATTCTGCTGCTGATCAGGACCATCCTCCTGGTTCACACCTCCTTCAAGTAACATCTGCTGGTATATCTGCCGCTGTTGCTCCTTCTGTTCTAAATGCTGCTGATAGCGTAATCTTTGCCTATAATATTCTTGAAATTGTTCCGTGGAATCTCGAAGCTTAAAAAATTGGAAAAACAATACATATAACAGACCATTCCTGAATTATGTTTTTACAATATCATCTTTAAATAATGAATAAAATTACAACTATAAAAATTTAAAAATTACACTGCTCTTTGAAAAATAACATAGCACGTGTGTCTGAAAAGTCACAGATTATCGGCTCCTTTGCTTTATTCTGTAACAACTAACTGAAATGGCTGGTTACTGTGTGTTCCTGAGTAGCCCAAAGACAACATGCAAACTGATGGTTACAACAAGAACACAGTCAGAGAATATGCAAGTAGATAATGATAAATTTGTTAGTACTTAAATCATATCTCGTACAGAACTGTATTACTATTTAGTAAAAATATTAACCTTATCAAACATTTAATACTAAGCATGAAATTGGTTTCTACAGACAGAAACAAGTATTTCCCTAAAAACTAGGTTTCAAGTGTTCTTTCATGAGTAAAAACTGGTTTTAAATTCAGCAATCTCAGTATTTCCCATTCATCCTCCTAAATGGGCAAAGAGACTGGCAAATGGGTAGAGATGCCTGCCCACCATGCACTCTGACAACCTAAGTTTGATTCTGGAGAGAACTAAGTCCCACACAACTCTCCTCTGACCTACAAACATGCACTACAGCACGCACATGGGCGAGCACACACACCAACAATTAAATTTTTAAAGAAAAAAAAGCACACTTAACACCTCTTCTAAGTGGAACAGTACATAAATATATATTCTGTCATAATACAATTTCCTGTCAGAAACACATAAAAAAGAACCTTACATTAAGATAAATACTCTATATTATACATTTTAAATTTCTTGTTTATTAAATACAATAAATATAGAATGTATGCTCTTAAAATGAAAAGTAGCCACATTTAATGTAAATTCAATTATTTGAGTCATGAAATATGTAGCATTTTAGATTTTAATAAATTCCTCTACTTATAAAATATATGAAAACTAAACATTCTATAAATTCTTTGAAGAAGTCAGAAAATAAGCCAATAATCAGAATATCTAAAATCTTTGTACTACTACCAAATAAGTCTTTTACATTTTATGTAAGAAATCCTATTAACTTTTACAAGGAGAATAACTTTGAGGCACATTACATTTGGTAAATATTACCTCATTTTTTTCTTGTTTAGCCGGTACTGGATTCTGTGTTCCATTTGCAGGTTCCTTTTCAAAGCCTGAACCCTGGCACGTGGGTTCACTGCTGACAGGCTGCTGGGGCTCAACAGGTGTATCACTTCTTCCAAAAAAACAAAACCAAAAAAAAAAAAAATAGAAAAAGCAGAGATGGGGTGGAAAATTCATTTTAGAGGAATTTTCTTGCATTAAAAAAGAATATTAAGGATTTAGTGTTTATCGACTATACAAAAATAGATGTCTTTCTTTTCTTAACTACATAAAATATCTTCAAAATATAGAACATGCTTAGAGAGGAGATGCTTGTTACTGAGACACGGTCTTGCTGTGTGGTCTCAAACGTCTAAGCTCAAGAGATCATCAGCTTCCCACATACTGAAGTTGCAGGTATGTATGCCATGACCCTCAGCTCTTACCACAGCTGCAGGTGTGTATTGTCATGATCCTCGGCTATACACACACACACACACACACACACACACACACACACACACACACACACACACTGCAGGTGTGTGCTGTCATACCCAGACAGGACAAACATTTACTCGGGAAGCAGGGTCTCTAACCTAATATCAGTAGTATTAGGAAATTCATTTTCATTCTTTGTGGCCCAGATTCATCCATAAACTAGATAGGCTGGAGGATTTCATACCTATATTCCCTATATTCTCTTTATGAAATAAGAATTGTGATTTTGTTACTCAAATATTTGTTTTTCCCTCTTGTTTGTATGTTTAAAGTTTAAGACTTCAGATTTTATTAAGAGACTTTTCTTGGCTTATACACCGAACATAAAAGCAAAACAGATCTTACCACTTCTTTAAAAAAATTACTTAAGATTCTTTTTGTTTGTTTGTTTGTTTGTTTAAGATAGGGTTTCTCTATATAGGTCCTGGAACTCACTATGTAGACCAAGCTGACCTCAACTCAAGAGATCCACCTGCCTCTGCCTCCCAAGTGCTGGGACTCACGGTGCCCACCATCATGCCTAGCCTATCTTTCACATTTTTAATAAATGATCTTTTTAATGGCATAATTTGGGAATTTTATATCAGGTTGTTCCTAATATTCTTTTAAAACACTAACAATTTCTGCTTTTCATAAATCTGAAAAATGTTAATAACAACCCAGGTGAGGTGATGCACACCTCTAATCATAGCACTTAGGAGGCAGAGTCAAGTTGGTCTCTGCGTTTGAAGCCAGCTTGTTCTACACAGTGACTTCCAGGCCAGCCAAAGCTACAAACCTTGTCCCAAAAAAAAAAAAAAAAAGAAAGAAAGAAAGAACAGGAGGGAGGGAGGGAGGGAGGGAGGAAGGGAAGGAGGGAGAGAAATGATGATGAATACCAGATATATACATAGATTTACCTATTGCTACAAAACACCATGGAAACAACTACAGAAGTTACACAACCTTTCACTTTAAAGAATTTAATTATACAGTACTGACCTCTCTAGGCAGAGTATATAGGACACATCCATACAAAGTGTGGGAATCCAGAAGGCAACATTAGACAGTCATTGTCACAAAGGCACCCTTTACTTAGGAGCTGTCCTTCTGACTACCTAAGTATGTGTGCATGTGTAAGAATGATCACTACCATACTTCTATAAAGTACTAACCCTATGATAAGAGCTGCCACACAAAGAACTATGGTTTAAAAAAAGAGGCATGTTATCAGTACAAAACCAGACACGGGCCAACGGACAGAACAGAGGACCCGGAAATAAGCCCACCTAGCTACAGCTACCTAATTTTTAGCAAAGGTGCAACATATGTTGGAGAAAAGACAACCTCGTTACCAAAGGACACTAGGGGAACTGGATTTCCGCATGTAGACGAGTGAAACTAAATCCATACATCACTTTTTTATTTTATTTATATTTCATATGCATTGGTGTTTTTGCCTACATGTACGTCTGTAGGAGGGTATCAGATGCCCTGAAACTGGAGTTAGATAGTTGTGAGCTGTTATGTGGGTGCTGGGGATTGAACCTGGGTCCCCTGGAAGAGCAGCATGTGCTCAACCGCTAAGCCATCTTCCCATCCATATATATCGTCTTCCACAAAAATCAATTTAAAGTGGATCAAAGCCCTTACATAAGATTCGAAACTTTTAAAGGAAAATAAATAAACAAAACATGTTACAATATACACAGAAGCAAAGACTTTTGAAAGAACTCTAATTGCACAGAAAATAATCCCAAGAACTAGAAAAAAGGAAATGACATGAAATTAAAAGGCTTCTGCAGAACATATGGATTGGGGAAAAGTTCTACCAAGTAGAAATGAAAAAAAAGGGAATAATATCTGGAATACAGAAGGAGCTACAAAAATGACACAACACTAAAGAGAAAACCTCATCAAATCAGTAAATGAGCTAATGACTGAACAGGTAATTCTCAAGAAATACAAAGTTAATAAATATACCACGTCATCACGGACATGCAAAACAACGGCTTTGAGAATCCACCTCGCCTCCAGTTAGAATGGCTATTATCAGGAAAACAAACAATGACTAAAGCTGGCATGGATGTGGGGGAAGAAGAACTCATACACTGTTGGCAAGGGTACGAATTTGTGCAGCCACTATAGCAATCAAGACGGAGGTCTCTTAAAAAACTAAAAATGGAACTACTAGGTAACCCAGTCATACAACTCTCATGAGTATGTACCCAAAGGTTCCCAGTCAACACATCACAGAGATACTTGCACAACCATGTTTCTACACAACCTCACAACTCACAATAGTGAAGACATGGAACAAACCTGGATGACCACCAACAGATGAGTGGATAAAGAAAATGTATGACACACAGTGGTCATTTTACTTATTCCTGTACGTATGTAATATGCTTTTGATAATTTGTACTTCTGATAAAATTATACATATAGAATGCCTGTGACCATTTGCACTCTCTTATCCCTTTCTCTGGCTAACTTGCTTCTCCTCAACTAGTCCCCCTTCTAGTCCCATGTCTCTTTTCTTTTTGTGCAGATAGACACAACTGCTATGAGCTGGTGACTGGGATGGCCATGCAGCTTCCAGAAAACACTGTTTCAAGATGCTCTTCTCCATCTTTAACAACCAACTCCCACCCACTTTTGGTGATGCTTCCTGGGCACTGAAGGAGGCATAAATGGACCATTTAAGACTAAGCACTCAACAACCATTTATTCTCAGTACTTTGATCATTAGTGAGTCTCTACATTAACTGTCATCCTCTGCTAAAAGAAGCTTTTCTGACCTAGGCTAAGAGCAGTACTGTTCTATTGGTGTAAATATAAATATTTAGAGGGCATTTTGACTAGATGTCCATTTAGCAAAACACCTGAGTTTAGTCTCCTCTAGGGCCTGTAACTTCCCCAGCCATAGGCTTAGTACCAGGCATGTATTCCCTCCAATATATGGGCCTATAATCCAGTCAGAAACCAGTTGTCCCCAAAACAGTCTTGCCATTAGTGCACCAATGGGCACATCCTGCCTGGCAGGTCAGAGTTCACAATGAGAATTTAACTAGCCATAAAGAAAAAAAAAATGACATCTGCAGGAAAATGGATACACCTGGAAATTATTGTATTAAATGAAAGAAACCAGACCAGAAAGACAAAAACCACATTTCCTAACATACGGAGAACCTATATTTAGAATTATATTCATGTATATGGTGTATGATTAGGTCATCAAACTGGAAAGGGGATCATGACAGGGAGGAAGGTATCTTAAGGAGGGGAGAAAAGAGGGAAACGGAACACATGTGTATGAAAACATAGAGGGGTCTATCTGAGGGAAGAGGAGTCAGTCAGAAGTGGGCAGGGGGGTGGGGGAGCACAGTGAGGAAGGAGTACAATCAGAACAAAAGTGCTGAACACCAAGAGCATTTGCATGCACACACTACAGACAACTTAGAACTGATGATTCCTAATTTTTATGAGCAAATACCTACCGTTCAGGAGATTCTTCATAGATACTGTGACATTCCGTATTCTCAAGCATGAGACTTCTGCTAAGGTTTTGTACTCCTGGGTAATGGAAGTTAGCAAAGGAGTGTGACATTGGAGAAGTTTTGTTCCCAAGATCTGAGATTCTCTTATCATGGCTGGTTAATCCACATGTGAGACCATCTAAAGCAGGGTTCAGGGAACGAGTCATATAGGCATCAGCTGACTGAGGTCTTCTCATTGGTGAGGATGGGTAAGGAGAAAGTTTGCTGATAAGAGGAGTCAAGAGATCAGCATATGCAGCTTTTGTAGGCTTCAGGAGTTTGTCAACATGAATATTCAGCATTTTCTGTTCAAATGCACAAGAAAAGACTGAAGAAGGGAGATTCTGAAGCCAAGACAGTAAACTCAGATCTAAATCATCACAACCGTTGCCACATAAGAGGTCAATGCCAAGAAGCACTTCACTTTCTGTAATTTCTTCACCAGTTGCTTTACTCTGACAAAATTCTACACAGCATTCATAAAGTAAGCCCTTCATTACGAGTTGGAATAAGCGATTGTTACTTGCTTTAAAACCAGCCTCACTTAGCTTCCTGTCGGCAGGGATGAACTCTGCAACCATGACACAGACCTCTTCAAAGCAATGAACTCGTGCAGTGCTGGGATTCCAGTCCTTAAATTCAGCATGATTGGTCAGACGAGGCAAAGTGAGAAGCAGACAGAGCTTGCTGTAATCATCTTTAGAAGGGCAGTACTCCTCTAGAGCATGTAGACACTGGACAGCTTCCTGCATGGTAAATTCCAACTAAAAAAAATATAAAGGATGACTATAAAAAAAAAAGGTGAAAGGCAACTGATCACCTTAAAAAGAAATGTGAAAGCTGAGAGTATAAAAGATAAATTTTGGTGCCAGAGAACATACATATAATTTGCAGAATGTATAATAATTTTTAATTTACAATGTTTTCACAACTTAAAAATGAAGAATTTGGCCGGGCGTTGGTGGCGCACGCCTTTAATCCCAGCACTTGGGAGGCAGAGGCAGGTGGATCTCTGTGAGTTCGAGGCCAGCCTGGTCTACAAAGTGAGTTCCAGGAAAGCCTCCAAAGCCACAGAGAAACCCTGTCTCGAAAAACCAAAAAGAAAAAAAAGAAAAAAAATGAAGAATTTGGTTTATTAGCAAATTAAAATTTTTACCTACAAAAATAACATTCTAAATCAATTCAGACTAATTTCCAACTATTTATTCTTTACTTTACTTTGTTAAAATGGCTAGATACAGGGCTTCCATATCCTGGCTCAGGCTGGCCTGAACTCAAGCTCCTATCTCAGTCTATGGATACTAAGATTATAGTTGAAAGATACCATGTCCAGCAAAAATGGAAAACCAAAGGATGTCAATAGTTTGAAAATTTTGATTGTTTGGTTTATCCCAAATGCAAAAAGCCATTTTCTTAGTCTCAACTTATCTTAGAATAAATTCATGAGGATAGAAAGCAAAATTCACAAAAGGGAATATTTACAGTAGATTGTTACGAAAACAACAGAAATAGAACAAAAGGAAGCTTCGATTAGATGACTGACAACAATGTGTAACTAAACATTGTCAGATACCTTGTGGGCATGTCCAACCTGTGGCCTGTGAGGTAGTATGTGCCCCAGGCTAGCTATGAATATGGCCTAACGCAAAAAATGTAAACTTAGCTGGGCGGTGGTAGCACACGTCTTTAATCTCAGCACTTGAGAGGCAGGCAAATCTCTGTGAGTTCGAGGCCAGCCTAGTCTACAAAGCTACACAGAGAAATACTGTCTCAAAAAATGGAAAAAAAAAAAAAAAGTAAACTTGCCTTTAATCCTAGCACTCCGGAGGCAGAGGCAGGTAAATTTCTTTTGAGTTCAAGGGCAGCCTGGTCTACAAAGTGAGTTCCAGGACAGCCAGAGCTGTTACACAGAGAAACCCTATCTCTAAAAGAACAAAAATAAAATACCATAAGGACAAACTGTAAACTGACTTAAAACATTGAGGGTAGGGGGTTTCTTAAAACTCAATTGTGCAGTTCTTAAGTGTAAGCACTGTAGATGATAATATCATGTCCCAATGTCAAAAGGTTGGACACGCCTGATAGAACTTAACTATTTTGTCCTATCTTACATATGGGAGAAACTAGGATACAGATTTAATCAACTGGTTAGTGACAAACTCAAAGTAACAAGTTGAGGTTTTTCCTACTTGTGGAGATCATTATCTAGCAAAAATTGATCCATTGTGAAAAAAAATCCCACTGTAATATCCTTTGGGTTTAGCTATGATCTGAGTATCTGTTTGTTGTAAGTATAGCTCAATGGATAATAGAATTTGCTACACAGGCATAAGACATGAGTTCAGATCCTCAGAACTAGGTCAGCAAGATGGCTCAGTAGGTAAAAGGGCTTGTTACCAAAATTTAAGCCAGGATCCACACAGTGAAATAAGAGAAGCGACTCAAATTATTTTCTGGTCTCCACACATGTGGAACACACACACACACACACACACACACACACACACACACACACACACACACACACACCATATATACATAGAGGCAGGAGAGATGACTCAGTGTGCATTGCTCTTCACAGGACCTGAGTTTTGATCCCAGAATCCATACCCAGTGGTTCACAACCACTTATAACTCCAGTTCTAAGAAATTCAGTACTCACTCTGCCCATCACAGGTATCTGCACTCATGTGTACACAACCACACACAGATATGCATATCTACACATAAATAAAACCATTCTTTAAACTAACCTTCTGGCTGGCAAGATGGCTCAGAGGATAAAAGCACTTTCCACACAAGCCTGACAGCCTGTGTTTAATCCTCAGAAACCACAGTAGGAGGAGAGAACAGACTCTAAAAGTTTTTCTCAGACTTCCCATGTTCACCACAATGCTCTCTCTCTCTCTCTCTCTCTCTCTCTCTCTCTCTCTCCCTCTTCCCCCCCTCTTCCCCCCCTCTCTCTCTCACGCACACACCCACAATGCTCTCTCTCTCTCTCTCTCTCTCTCTCTCTCTCTCTCTCTCTCTCTCTCCCCTCTTCCCCCCCTCTCACGCACACACCCACAATGCTCTCTCTCTCTCTCTCTCTCTCTCACACACACACACACACACACACACACACACACACACACACACACACGTTGAGCCCCAGCCCCCACGGATCTCTGTGCATTGCTTGTCAGCTGATAGCCACAGGTGCATCCTGCTCTCTAGTCCTGGTTTACAGCCCCAGCCTTGCCCACCTGTCATCAATATCTAGCACGAGGAAACACGAGCTCTTACACCTGGGGTTTCTGCACTGTGCTGTAAGTCTGTATATAAGGCTGCTCACTCCTTACGGCACACACATGGGCAGCATGGTGCGTGCTCGCTCTGTCTCTCTCTCTCTCTGTCTCTCTCTCTCTCTCTCTCTCTCTCTGTCTCTCTCTCTCTGTCTCTGTCTCTCTCTGTCTCTCTCTGTCTCTGTCTCTCTCTCTGTCTCTCTCTCCTCTCTGTCTCTCTCTGTCTCTGTCTCTCTCTGTCTCTGTCTCTCTCTGTCTCTCTCCTCTCTGTCTCTCTCTGTCTCTCTCTGTCTCTCTCTCTCTCTCTGTCTCTGTCTCTCTCTGTCTCTCTCTCTCTGTCTCTGTCTCTCTCTGTCTCTCTCTGTCTCTGTCTCTCTCTGTCTCTCTCTGTCTCTGTCTCTCTCTGTCTCTCTCTGTCTCTGTCTCTCTCTGTCTCTCTCTCTCTGTCTCTGTCTCTCTCTGTCTCTGTCTCTGTCTGTCTCTCTCCTCTCTGTCTCTCTCTCTGTCTCTCTCTCTCCTCTCTGTCTCTCTATGTCTCTCTCTCTATGTCTCTCTCTGTCTCTCTCTCCTCTCTCTCTCTCTGTCTCTGTCTCTCTCTGTCTCTGTCTCTCTCTGTCTCTCTCTGTCTCTCTCTGTCTCTGTCTCTCTCTCTGTCTCTCATGTCTCTCTCTCTGTCTCTCTCTCTCTGTCTCTCTCTCTCCTCTCTGTCTCTCTATGTCTCTCTCTCTCTATGTCTCTCTCTCTCACTCTCTCTCTCCCTCCCTCCCTCTCTCTCTCTCTCCCTCCCTCCCTGTCCCCCTCCCTCTCCCCTCCCCTCCCTTCCTCTCCTCTCCTGGAAATAAAGGCAGCAGACACATTCTCTTAGCACAAACAGCCGTACATCTTGTCTTTCATTTCCTGATACCTCGGACTTGTTTGTGGAGCGGACACCACATGCACGCACCCACACTATTCACACAAAAATAAGCAAATGAAACTTCCTAAGGCTGGAGATACAGCTCAGTTGGTAGAGAGCTTGCCTGACACACGAGACACTGGGTTCAATCCACAATACTAAATAAATAAATGTAACTTTTTAATCCAAACATATTTTATAGTACTGAATTTAAGCCATAAAACCAAGCATTTCATTAAGAAGCAATCTGGAAGCCAGGACATGATGGTGCTGCCCATAAATTCAGCATTTAGGAAAGTCAGCATGGAGGCCAGGTGTGAGATTAAAGACATGTGCTCTAGTGAAGCAGAGGCAAGCAGATTTCTGTGAGTTTGAGGTCAGCCTAATCTGCATAGTGAGCTGCAGGCCAGCCAGAGCTACAAAGTGAGTCTCTGTCTCAAACAAACAAATAAACAACCTCAGTTTGATCCCTGGGACCCAGATGGTAGAAAGAGAGACCTGCAAGCTGTCCTCCAATCTCCACATGCTTTCACCATGAAGTGTGTGACACCACCCCCCAAAAAAATAAAGTTTTAAAAGACTGATCAACTCTGAAATAGAAATACAAAATATTTAGCCAAGATTTAATAGTTAATATGAAAATGAGAAGCATCAGGGGGCAGGGGCAGGAGGATCTTACAGAAGTTTAAGGTCTTCCTGTATTATAAGCTGCCTCAACAACAGCCTGGACTACATGGGAACCTGTCTTTTTTCTTCTAGGTGCCTGAGTGTTTTGCCTGAATGCATGTATGTACACCGTATGTGTGCTCAGTGCCCTGGGAGGTCAGGGTGTTGAATGAGGTGTTGAATCCCTGGGAACTGGAGTTACAGATGGTCATGAGCCATCATGTAGATGTTGGGAGCCAACACAGAGGCCCTTTTAAAAAAGAAGAGAGTGACGAGAGAGATGTCTTTATAATCCTTCTCCAACCCTTGCCTCAAGGGAACAAGGAAGAGATGCGCTGAGAACACCTATGAGGGTTCTCTGGCTCTCTGTGTGTATACACATGAGTACACCTCACATATACATACACAAACCTGGTCTAACTTACCTTACAGGAGAAGAATTTACTCTTGAAGTATTCACATAGCACCTTAATCTAAATCATAGAGAAAAGTTTAAAAGGACTATAGATTGAAAGTACTACAATTGCAAAACTATGGATCTTGCTTCATCACAGCTCCTAAAACTTTGAAAACTCATGACAATAATCTTCTGGTTTAGTGAATAAAATAACTGAAAGCAAGACTTGGCGCAAACCTTCAGGAATAAAAATCTTACATGCTGGGGCTCATCTTCCGCAGACATTGCATTGTTAACACACAAAGCTTCTAGAAACTTCTGCTTGAGGATAATATAACGAAACCTATGGGGGAAAAAAACAATAGTTACAAAGTTGAATGACACCAGGCATGGTAGCATACATCTATAGAGATCTACCTGCCTCATGGTGAAAGCATGCGGAGATTGGAGGACAGCTTGCAGGTCTCTCTTTCTACCATCTGGGTCCCAGGGATCAAACTGAGGTTGTTTATTTGTTTGTTTGAGACAGAGACTCACTTTGTAGCTCTGGCTGGCCTGCAGCTCACTATACAGACTAGGCAGACCTCTGACTCAGGAGGATAGATAAGAAACATGAGATGGAAACCAACCTGAGCTATATGGCAAGATACTCTCTTAAAAGGAAAAGAATGGCCGGGCGTTGGTGGCGCACGCCTTTAATCCCAGCACTCGGGAGGCAGAGGCAGGCGGATCTCTGTGAGTTCGAGGCCAGGCTGGACCGACAGCCTCCAAAACAAAACAGAGAAACCCTGTCTCGTAAAACCAAAAAAAAAGGAAAAGAATGATAATAATGTTTAATATAAGAGAAGAAACATAAGCTTCTGAGACACAACAGGCAAAATTTGTTCCATGCAGACTAAACCCATGACTCTGCACAAGCCAGGTATACATTCATTTTGTTTGTTTGGTTTTTGTTTTTTCAAAACAGGGTTTCTCTGTATTGTTTTGGAGGCTGTCCTGGAACTTACTTTGTAGACCAGATTGGCCTCGAACTCACAGAAATTCACCTGCCTGTCTCCTGAGTGCTAGGATTAAAGGCGTGCGCCACCACCTCCCAGTACCAGGCACACATTCTATCACTGAACTAGAGCACCACTTCAGCCATTTTGCTTTACAAATGATCAAATTGGGCCAGCAAGATGGCTCCTTGGGTAAAGGTGCTTCCTACCACACCTGAAGCCCTGAGTTTGAGCCCCAAACCCCAACATGATGGAAAGCAATAATCAATTGTTTTAAATTGTCCTCTGATCTTCACATGTGCACTATGGAATGCACATGTGCACATATACACACATACAATTACATGTTTTTAAAGGCATCAATTATTATTTTCAAAGAAATCTAAAAAACATAATTTTCCAGTAGCTGACAAATGAACTTAGAAGCTACCAGGAGTAAAACTGGAATCTGAGCCAGGCAGTGGTGGCACACGCCTTTAATCCCAGCACTCGGGAGGCAGAGGCAGGCGGATTTCTGTGAGTTTGAGACCAAGCCTGGTCTACCAAGCGAGTTCCAGGACAGGCTCCAAAACAATACAGAGAAACCCTGTCTCAAAAAAAAAACCAAAAAAACAAAAAAAACCCTGGAATCTGGAGAAACAGCTCGGCAGGTAAGAGCACTTGCTGATCTTGCAAAGGACCCAGGGTCAGTTCCCAGAACTACATGGAAACTCACAGCTTTTGTAACTCCAGTTCCAGGGGATCTGGCACCCTCTTCTGACTTCCACAGGCACCAGACACACATGATTCACATACATACATGCAGGCAAAACATTCATAAAATAAAAATTTTAAAGTCTAAAAAATTTTAATAAAGTAAAATTGCTTTCAGAAAATTCTTAAAATACTTTACTAAGCTCCTTATCACAGTGAAGTCATATCTGATATAATTCTAATCACAAAGAATAGTATCAATCACTATGTAGTGAGTTTGAGACCAGCTTCTGTCTCAAAAAACAGCAACAACAAAACAAGTATTTAAAAGAGCAAAAAGGTACAATTCTAATAATCTTAAAATAACCATAGACTTAAAACTTTTTTTTAAGATTTCTTTATTATATACACAATGTTCTGCCTGCATGTCAGAAGAGGGTGCCAGGTCTCATAGATGGTTGTGAGCCATCACGTGGTTGCTGGGAATTGAACTCAGGACCTCTGGAAGAGTAGTCAGTGCTCTTAACTTCTGAGCCATCTCTCCAGCCCGACTTAAAACTTTTTTAAAAAATAAACTATGTATTGCTGGGTGGTGGTGCCTGCCTTTAATCCCAGCACTTGGGAGGCAGAGGCAGGTAGATCTCTGAGTTCGAGGCCAGCCTAGACTACAGAGTAAGTTCCACACAGAGAAACCATGTCTCAAAAAAACAAAACAAAACTAATTTATTTACCTATCTGTATGAATGTGAACCATGTTCATGCCCAGTACCTATGGAGCTCAGAAGATGGTAGATTATCAGAAGTGCCTCAAGTAAAGAGAGAAGATAGGAAAGCAACAGTAGTTCAGATAAATGAAATCTATGAGTGAGTAACTCAAACTATAAAATTCAACTTCTGTAACTGTAAAGTAGCTTGAGCCTGACTAACCTTTCTTCAGGTACTGTTAAGCCCTGGAGAAAAGGCACACACATACACACACTGAAGACATTAGAAAACAACAACCAAAAATACAATCATGGCAGCACAGGAGCCACATGTGGCAGGAGGATTTTGAGCCAAAAGGTAGTCTGGGCTATATAGCAAGACCTTATCTCAAACCAAAAGGAAAAAAAGAGATAGGGTAGAAAGGAAAAAATGAAAACTAAAACTCAGCATAGGAAGAAGTTAATTCTTGAAAAAAGAGAACTGTGTGAGTAAGAGCCAAAGGTATAAGAGTTTCCCGCATCCAATGGGCTGAAAGATGGTTCTGTGGTTAATAGCATGCACTCACTGTCTTTGCAGAGGACCCAAGTTTGAATCCCAGCACCCATGTTGGATGGCTCACAACTGCCTGAAGCTCCAGCCCCAAGGGATCCAACATCATCTTCTGGCCTCCTTGGGCACCTGCACTCACATGTATGTACTTCCACACAGACACACATGCACTGGCTTAAATGAAAAACAAATCTTTAGGAAAATGTTTCCAGCACCCTAGCGTGATACTGATAGATCAAACAGAAAATGAGTGAAGAAACAAAGAAATAAATAAAAAGAAGCCACAGTTAGAAATGCACTAAAATCTACTGTATAAATTCAAGTGTCCACACCTATGGCTATTCCCAAAATGGTTAAGATAAAAGGGAAATGCTAAGGAACAATGTGAGAACCACAGAAAAAGATGAAAGAATCAAGAAGAAATATGACTAGAGTCCACCAGAGAAGAGAAAAAGCTGCATTGCTTGAATAACAGTCAATACTTTTAAGGCTGGCAAGATGGTTAAGAATGCTTGCTGCTCTTGCAGAAGCCCACGGTCATTCCCAATGCCCCACAAAGCAGCTCACAGCAGTGCGGCCCTCCTGCTCCAGGGGACCTACAGCTCTGGTATTGGCTGTCAGGCACCCACACTCACTTGCACATATCCACACATACACACAGAACTTAAAAGTCAACACTTCAAAGAAAGCAGAAGTCAGTCTCAAGAAGGAATTAAAACTGGGAATACAGCTCAGTTGTACAGCACTTGCATAGTGTACGCGGGACACTGGTTTCTGTTCCTAGCATTTGAGGCAGGGGAGGAGGGCAGAAGAATACTTTATATAAAATGAACACTTTAAGTGACTTAAAGTTGGGAAAAAAGATAACCATTAAAATCTGAACCTGGTATGACTACAAGTTCAAACTTAGCAAGCAATGAATATACTAGTAAATAAGCAACTACTTAAGTACAAAGACTTAAAGAAAAGTACCACAGTAAATGAACAGATAAGAGTGTCTCAGAGAGATTATAAAGACAAAAAATGAGTTAGATGTTATGTACAGCCTAGGTTAATATGAAACTCCTTATTTAGCACAGGATGACATCAAACTCATGATCTTCCTGACTTCTAAGTACCGGGATTATCAGTATATATCATCATGACTAATAAAAAAATGAAATTGAAAAATATGCTACCTGAACTTAAAGGCAGCCAGGGGAAGGGAGGAAAGAACTACATTGGTTACACTAAGAGAATCAGGGCCCAAATTACTGCTGGCTGTACATTGAACAATGAAGGCCAAGCTTCGGCAGAAAGTCATCTTTGAAGTCTGCACTGGTATCTCGGTGTATACACACTACTGACAGAGTAAATCTCAAGAACTGTAATTATGTAACATCCTTATCCCGTGTGTGCTGCTGCTTAGGAAGGCTACATCTTAAATGTGTTTATTGCTCTGTTTTGATGCTAGGCTGTTACCAATGACAAGACACTACACCTTTAAAATAAAATCCTACCTTTTTTTGTCAAACTTTTCCATACATTCTAGAGGTTGAATGAACTGAAGAACTTCATCCCATTGGCCATCCAGAATTAACTGCCTAAATAAAGAAAAACCCAAAATGCTAATCAATTCAGGTCACACTAACAGATGACAGAGCAGATGACAAAATAGACATTAAAAGCAAATAATGAGATTAACCTCTGATTCCTCAACATTAGCAGTATTCTTTTACAATAATTTCTTAATTTTGAATTTATGATCACAGCAAATTCATAAAGAGTATGGGCAGAAGGACTTTTATAAGATTACCAATATTTTATTTAAAGAATACTAATAACCAATCACAATATATGTCACAATACTTTTATAAAGGGATGTTTTAATCTTTAAAAGGAAGGACACAATTTCAAAGGTTAAACTTTAAAATGAATACATTAACTCAACAAAAAACTTTCTATTCTATAATTCTTTGCATTTCACCACAGATCAGTAAAATTCCATCACAAGCCAGTAGGCTCCTAGAGAGGACTCAGGGACCAGTACTAAATTCCAAAGGTATCAACACTTGAAACTAGGCGTGGTGGTGCACACCTTTAATCCCAGCACTACGCAGAGACAGTCAGATCTCTGTGAGTTAGAGGCCAGACTAATTTATAGAGCGAGTTCCAGGGAAAGTTCCAAATCTACCAAGAAACCCTGTTTCAAAAAAAAAACAAATAATAGTAATAGCAGTAATAATGATGATGATAATCTTATTATTGGGGAGGGTTATCACAATATGAAGAACTGTAATAAAGGAGCATTAAAAAGGTTGACAACTAATAATCTAGACCAATCTAGCCTGAAACTCACAGAAATCTGCCTGCCTCTGCCTCTACTTCTCTCAAGTTCTGGGATTGAATACATATACTACAATGCCTAGAAAATTGCTGTTTTTAAAAAATATACACAAGAGAAAGAGATCATTCAATGGTTAAAAGCACTGCCTGCTTTTGTGGGCCTGCTCTTCTGGAGGACACGGGCTCAATTCCCAGTACCCACATGGCAGTTAACAACCATCTCTAACTCTAGTTCCAGGGGATCTGACACCCTCTTACCATGCATGCACATATTACACAGACATACATTTAGGCAAAACATAAATAAAGCTTACGTATATATTTACATATATACAGATACATATATATGAAACACATTTTTTCTAGATAGTTTTGAATTTTCTTTGCTTTTAATAATGAATATATTTCTATATGAATGCTTTATTTATGGCATTCATTTCTATGCACTCCTTATGCATATTTTAAAAAGGTTTCCTTTACCTTCACAGTGCCTTGTATTTCTAGAGTACTTTTCAAATTGCCACCATAAGGCTATGACTGCAAAGTCTATGCATTTTACCACTGAAAACACTCTACAAATATATTGCTGTATGTTGTAAACATTCCATTATGAAATAAAAACCAACTATTAAATTGCACTTAGAGTATATTATACACATCGCCATATTGATACTCTTCTTTGAAGAGCTGCATGCAAGCCTTGTAGTGATGATGTTAACATACCTCAGGAAAAGCATATCATCTGAAAATAGGCCATTTATGACTCCACTTTCCTTCTCAAGGGCCAGCATACTAATGTGGAGTTTCTTTGAATTCAAGAAGTCTAAAATCAGCTTAATGATTTCAACCTCCTTTACATTCACTGTTTCTTCTGCCGTCATATTGCTAGCCTAAATAAAACAATAACAACAAAAATTTAGTCCTGTTGTTTTATGTGTAGGTTTAATTGCCTAGAAATGTCAATGTTGCTTGGGAATTTTTAGTACACGTATTTCCAAGTGAAATTAACTATCAAAACTGAATCATTCTTTAATGTGTTAAAATATGGTTCAGATTTGTTTTAAGTACTAACATGTGAGAAATACACATTGGAGTGATGGCAGATTAAATGGTGAAGTTTGAGGCACCTCAAAATAATCTAGAAATAACAGTATCAGACGTGTCTAACACTAAGACACTATGTCACAATGCTGTCATCTACAAAGCCCATCTAAAGGACACCTCCCCTTCCCCAATGGACTTAACAAAAAAAAATCGTAATTCTAAGTAAGTTTACACTTTTGCACTGAGCTAAATTCATATACATCCTAGAAAACAAGCAGCCTATGGATCAAAGGTTGGTCACTCATGAATCATTTTGGAGTTAAACATAATAAGGCTCAACTGAAACATACAATTTATTGGTAATTTCAGTGTCATACTGGTAATATCAATTATATTTCAACACTTTAAAATTCCTTCTACTGAGATTAGATCAGCCATGGGCCTAAAGGAAAACCAAACGCTATTGTTACGCTAAAGGAACTTAGTAATAAAGTAACTCCTAATAACATTCTGCTGTATCTACAGATCAGCATCTTGCTCAGCCATCAGAGTTTCCTCTTGCAATAGATGGGAACTGATACAGAAACTACTGGACAGTGTGCAAAGAGTGAGACACTTTGGAACACTCACTCATAAATGGGATGACTTCACCACACCTCTCCCCCCTCAGGCTCAGAGAACTATGCAAAGAGGAGGCTGAATGATTCTAAGACCCAGGGGAGAAGGAAGACACCAAAGGAAGCAGTGCCTTCCAGACATAACAGTACTAACCAAGTGAACCCACAGGTAGCATGCACAGGGCCTGTACAGGTTCAAGACAGATGGGGCCCCAGCGCTTAGAGGGGAACATGGGCAGGAGTTCCCATCCCTAACAAGCTAGCTCAAATTTACAACTGCTTGCAAAGGAAAAATTAGTTTTCTCCCACAATACCACAACTGGGTATATAGACCACACTTAAGGGCAAGCCCTGTGTGCAGCAGTAAATGACCAACACAGAACAAACTCAATGATATTTCTGTAAAGAATTTCTTTTTGCTTTGTTTGGGCATATTTTTTATCTTATTGGTCTTTTGCTTGTGTGTTATGGTTTTCAATTTTGAGGCTTTATGTTTTGTTTGTTTTGGTCTTGGTTTTTTTTAAGACAGGGTTTCTCAGTAGTTATGGAAGCAGTCCTGGAACTTGCTCTGTAGACCAGGCTGGCCTTGAACTCACAGAGATCCGCCTGCCTCTGCCTCTCTGTGCTAGAATTAAAGGTGTGCACCACCAATGCCCACCTATAGTGTGTGTGTGTGTGTGTGTTTCTTGCACTTTTTCTTTCATTTTTTAAAAAATTCTTGTTTGATTTTTTTTAATTTGCCTGTTTTCTCAGAGAGAGAGAGAGAGAGAGAAAGAAGGTGTGGAGTTGGATACGTGGAGAGGTGGAAAGAATTCAAGAGGAGATGGAAGAGGGAAAACTGTGATCAGAATATTGCATGAAAAATGTTTTCAATAGAAAAAATAAAATTCCTTTTCCTAACACCTATATAGCTGTAGAGATACAACTGAATACATAGTCCATGAAAGCAAAAAGATTTACAACTAAGAAGTCTAAAATCATCATTACATCAGTGCTCTCATTTTGTACAAGCCATAATCAACTGTATTTGTCAAATGTTAAAACACATAGGAAACACTTAAGTCCCCTGACAGATTATAGGAACATGGATAAAGGTAGCTCTCTCTCTCTTTGCCACATCTACTGTGAGAATGGAGCGCATTCTCAGAAATCAGAACGTCCACATTCCAGAAAATATGACACCACACTGAGGGTCGCAGTTATTGTAAAGGGTCCTAGAGGAACACTTCAGGGGACTTCAATCACATCAATATGAAGCTGAGTCTCCTTGGAAAGAAAAAGAGGCGCTGGGTTGACAAATGGCCATTGTCTGAACTATCTGTAGTCATGTTCAGAACTCGATCAAAGGTGTTACACTGAGCTTCCAATACAAGATGAGGTCTGCATATGCTCACTTGCCCATCAATGCTGCTATTATTCAGGAGGGTGGGCCGCTGGTTGAAACCTGGAATTTCTTGGGTGAAAAATATGTTCTGTTTCTCAAGCCCAGATGGATGAGTTAATCCTTGAAGGAAATAACATTAAATTTGTTTCAAATTCTATGGCTTTGAATCAGCAAGCCACAACAGTTAAGAACAAGGACCTTAGAAAGTGTTTGGATAGCATCTATGTGTCTGAAAAGGGAACCGTGCAGCAGGCCGATGAGCAAGACCGGAGTTATCTAGCTCCAGAAACAAGATCCGGATTCTAAGTAGGATTTGAGATATCTTCGGGAACCATAAAATGAGATACTTCTATTAAAGAAAACAAACAAAAAACCAAACTCATAGTAGGGCTGGCAATATGGCTCAGCAAGTCAAGGCCCTTGCTGTCAAGTCTGACAGCCTGAGTTCAATGTCTAGGACCCACACAGTAGGCAGGCAGAGAGAACAGACTCCTGGCAAGTTGTCCTCTGACTTGCACTCTAAAACATGCACAGACTCACAATACACAAAATGAATAATATATATAAAAAAATTCCTCAGCAATGCAAAAGATTACCATGCTAATGGACTAGCTGCAGGAAATGTCATATGGTGACTAACAGGAATGTTAGGAAGCATTCTTTCTCATAGGACCAAGTTATTCTAATCAAGCAAGAGCTCGTAGATAATCCAGTTTTGTTCTTCTCAATCTGTTCATTTTTATCTATTTTTTCATAAAGAGAAACACAAATGTACAGCCAACTAGAATGTTCTCATCATCAAATAACATACTCTGTTCTCTTCATGTGGTATAGGTGTGCACAGCCAGAACCACATAGAGAGTCCCTGTTTCAAAAACAACAAAAAGAAAAAAAAACGAAAGAAAAAAGAAAAACACTGCTGTTTACTCTTCCAGGAGACATGGTGCTCAATTCCCAGTACTCACATGGCAGCTCATAACCCTCTCTAACTCCAGGGATCTGATGGCATCTTCAAGTACTACATACAGGCAAAACACCCATAAACATGAAAAAGAAAAAAGTTTGAATATAAAATTGGTTTTAGGAATCTAAGATTAGCTGGGCACTGGTGGCAGACGCCTTTAATCCCAGCACCCAGGAGGCAGAGGCAGGTGGATCTCTGTGAGTTCGAGGCCAGACTGGTCTACAGAGCGAATTCCAGGACAGCCTCCAAAACAATACAGAGAAACCCTGTCTCAAAAAAAGAAAAATAAAAGAAAGAAAAGAAAAAAAAAGAAATCTAAGATTAAAGGTGGACATTAACAGATAAAAATGGTAACAAAAATATACTTTCATACATAGAGAAGGAGCTGCAAGTGGTGATGTCCTACAGTAAACTCAGCACTCAAGATGCCACATCAGGACTACTAAGAATTTGGGGTCAGCCTGACCTATCTAGAATATCCAAGGCAAACTTGGGCTAAACATCGAGACAAAATCTCAAAAGAATACCATTAGGGCCAGGCGGTGGTGGCGCACGCCTTTAATCCCAGCACTCGGGAGGCAGAGGCAGGCGGATCTCTGAGTTCGAGGCTAGGCTGGACCGACAGCCTCCAAAACAATACAGAGAAACCCTGTCTCGTAAAAAAACCAAAAACCAAAACAAAATAAAATAAAATAAAGAATACCATTAGGGCTAGCTTTCTAACCAAACATAAATAGAAATGACTTAAATGGTGTTGCTTACTTAACACACAGAACTGGGAAGAAGGGACACACAGGAGACTAAGAGCAATGCAGAAGTTAAGGCTGAAAAAATTAGGACAATCATGAAAAAGTGCTTACAGCTTCGTTTCTATGATTTGCCTTTCATTTTTGTAATTTGCTTTAATTCACATTTTAGTAACAAGAAGCAAATACTCCGGTGGGTACTACAAAGTCTGGAATAATCAGAAATTTTGAATTTATAAGGTCAGTTAAATAAAAGAAAACAGCTTTTTTTTAAATAATTCTTTACAGATTTATTTAGTTATTTTATTACAGCATTCTGCCTGCATGCACACCTGTGCAACAGAAGAGGCACCAGACAGAAGCACCAGATTACAGAGGGCTGTGAGCCACCGTGTGCTTGTAGGGAATAAACTCACGACCTCTGGAAGAGCAGTCAGCGCTCTTAACCTCTGATCTGTCTCTCTAGTCCTCTTTAGATAATTTAACCATACAAAACTTTCCTTCTAATTACAAAGCTCCATCTTCTGCTGCTAATCACCTATGTTTGTAAACACATGTCCTTTATTAATGTTGACAACCATCTTTTTTGTTTGTTTGTTTGTTTTGTTTTTGTTTTTTCAAGACAGAGTTTCTCTGTGTAACAGTCCCTGCTACCCTGGAACTCTCTTTGTAGACCAAGCTGGTCTCAGACTCACTGAGATTGCCTGTCTCTGCTTCCCAAGTGCTGGGATTAAAGGTGTGTGTCACCATCACCCAGCCAACAACCATCTTCTGATCATGGATTACTTTAACTTACCTTCCAGAACTATGGATGACTTTTGTCCCACAGAAACAGACTGTGGAGCTGAGAATGTTAGCATAAAAATGCTTAGCTACCCTACCATTTAAAAATCTGAACCACATAAACCAGTCATGGTGATGCAAATCTGCAATTCCAGCCCTCAGGAGGAAGAGGAAGCAAGATCAGACGTTCAAGTCATCTTTGGCTATATAGAACAAGTTCAAGTCCAGCATGAGCTGCTCAAAATATAAAAAGGGGAAAAAATGAAACGGGGACCAGAGAATTGGCTCAGTACCTAAAGGCACTTGCCACCAAACTTGAAAACCTAAGTTTGATTCCTGGGATAGATGTATT